GCGGGACTCGCCGTGCGGCTGCCTGGGGGCCTGGGAACGTGTGGGTGGCACTGGGCAGCCCCTGCGGGAAGTGGGGTCCCCACCGGGTGCTGGGTGCAGGCGTGCAGCGGGGCCGGCCCGTCCGGGCTGGTGGGCCACCTGCCGCCCCGCCCCCACCTGCCTCTCGCACCCATGCTGGCCCTGCTGGTCCCACCCTCTCACCATGCTTGCTGGCTGCTACTGGGCCGTGTGGAGCATCTGCTTTGCATCCGTGTGTGTGTGTGTGTGTGTGTGTCTGTGTGTGTGTCTGTGTCTGTGTGTGTATCTATGAGTGTTTGGGTCTGTCTGTGTCTGTGTGTATCTGTGTCTGTGTGTGTCTGTGTTTATGTCTCTGTGTGTCTGTGTGTGTGTCTATGTGTGTGTGTGTGTGTGTGTGTGTGTGTCTGTGTCCCTGGCTCTACCTTCCCGCCCTTCCCCTTGACCCACCCCCTGGTTCTGGGGCTCCACCTGTGGCCTCCTCCTGAGCTCCCCAGATGCCTCGACTCTCCCCTGCCCACGGGTGGTGAGTGGCGGGAGGCCGTGGGCAGGGTGGGGAGTCAGGGCTGCCCTGTCCGGGCTGATGCCGCTGGGGCCCTCTGCGTCCTCCCGTGTCCTCCTGGACTGGCTCCTGCAGGCAAAGCTGCCGCCCTGCCCCGACGTCCACACCCGGTCAGTGCCCAGCTGCCGCCCGGCCCCGCATCCACACCTGCTCACTCCCGACCCTGCAGCCGCCGTCCCTTCCCGGGTGCCGCCTCCCCAGCCGGACCGTCGTCATCTCTGTCCCCTGCAGTTTCCCCTGAGCTGCCTCTGCCCCGAGTTCACTCTGGGGACTGGGCAGGGGCACCGCTGCATCCTGCCCCTCCCCCTCAGCCCCAGCTCCACCTGCTCCCCTGGGTCCCCCAGACTCAGGCCCGTGCTGGCGGGTGGGCCGTGAGGCCGTCTGTAGTGGTGCCCTTCCTGCCCTCCGTGCCCGGGTGCCGCGTCCTGCCGAGCCCTGGGTACGCAGACTGGCCTTGGGCCGGGGTGGCGCTGGGTCTTGAGTGTCCGACTGCTTCCCACAGTAGCTGGGGGCTCACTGGCCGTCCCGGAAGCCGGGGTCTCACCCTTGCTGGGCCCGGGCTCATGGAGCTGCCCGTAGTGGCCGTCGGCGGCCAGGCCGGGCTGGGTCTCTGGGGTTGAGCTGGCGTGGTGCCCCTTGGAGGTGGAGCAGCCCCGGGAGGGGCCGGGTCCCGCAGATGACGCGGGTGTGGGTGTTGTGGGCCCCGGCTGCCCGCGGCCTGCCTGCGGCTCGCGGCCTGCTGTGTCTGGGGCCGGCGTGCGGGGCCGTGGGCGCCTGGGCTCTGCCTCTGTAATTGCATCCGTGCTCATCTGGAATTAATTGGGCTCCTCACCGACGAGGCTGTCTCCAGCCTTTCCGGGGCGCCGCCTGCTTCCTGTGTCGAGCCTGGGCCCCGAGTCGCGGCCAGCGGGTGGGGGCGGGCGGCGCTGGCCTTGGCGCTCGGCAGGCCCCCTGGGCATCAGTGGAGCCTCAGAGGGGACCGGCTGTGTCTCCCTCAGTCGCTGCAGCCACAAGTTCCTGGCACGTGTGTGTGTGTGTGTGTGTGTGTGTGTGTGTGTGTGTAGTGTGTGGGGTCACCGCGCATGTGTGCAGCTGTGGTGTGTGCGCGTGTTGTATGTATGTATGATGGGAGTGTAGTGTGTGTACATGTAGCGTGTATATGTGGCTTGTGGTATGCACATCACGTCTGATGTGTGTGTATGTGTGCTGTGTTTCTGTGTACACGTGGTCATGCGTGCAGTGTGCATGTGTGTGTGGCGTGGCGTGTGTGTGATGTGACCAGCTGTGCAGTGCACGTATGTAGTGTGTGTTGTGTATGGCTGTGGTGTGTGTCACGGGGGGTGTGGCGTGTGTGTGGTCATGCACGCGTGTGTGCGTGTGTGCGTGTGTCTGGTTGCTGCTGGGGTGCGGCCTGGGCCTCCTGCTCTCACCTGGCGGCGTTGTCTCTTGGGAGCGGCCCTGGGGGTGGGGCCGGTGGGCCGGGCGGGAGGCCGCTCTGGGCCCTTCTCCCCGGCAACCTCCCCGTCCTTCCCGTCGGCTGTCGCTGAGCCGTGGGCTTGCGGGAGCTCGGTTCCTGCTCCCTGCTCTGGGACGCCGCCCTCCGGCGCCTGACCTGGTCAGTAACTTGGCCTGTGCTGCCCGTCTGCACGCATGGACATCTGCGTTTGGCGTGTGGCCTGTGCCGTGGACGCCGTGGGTGGTGTGGGGCTGGACCCAGGAAGGAGGGGCCTCCCTCGGGGGCCCGAGTCTCTCCGCTCTGTGGCCCCAGAGGCAGAGGTGGCGACTGTCCACCTGAGCGTGTCACGGCCACATGGCCGGCGGCCTTGGCCACTGCGGGGTCAGACTCAGGGGCGGCCTGGCCTGGGCTCAGCGTCCCGTGGCTCAGGGCCCTGCCCATGTCCCGTGTCCCGTGTCTTGTGTCTGGGGCCCGGTCTGTTGTCCTTGTGCCTCTCTCCCCCACCCCCCACCCTCCTGGCCGCCCCCTGAGCCTGGCCCCCACAGGCAGGGCTGTCCCTGGCTGCCACGCCAATGGGTCCAGGCAGGCGGGGATGAGTCTGCGAGTCTCTCGTGGCCTCGAGGGGTCTCTCCAGCAGCTGGGGAACCTTGGGGACCTTGGCTGGGCCCTGACAGGACGGCCCTGCCCAGCCTGCCCCAGGGTCCCTCCCACACAGCTGCCCACTTCCTGCCAGACCGCCCATGGGTGACCTCGTGCCACAGAGGGGCGCGTGCCCGCCTGGGGGGGTGCCTGGTGGGTGCAGGGGTGCGGGCTGGGCTCTGGGCCCCTTCTCCACGCGTCCACACTGCCCCTCAGCAGGAGCTCAGTGCCGGGTAGGGGCTGGTGTGAGCTCAGTGGGGCTGCGGCTGCTTCCCCGTGTGCTGGAGCCCGTGGGCACGCGGGCACTTCCTGCGGCTGGGATGACTGAGGCCGGTGGGAGGAGACGGGCACGGGGCCTGATAGCCACCACTCCTGCTGCTCCCGGGACAGTGCTCTCCTCCCTGGGGTTGCAGGCGCCGAGTCGGGGCTTGGGGCGCACGTCAGGGTGACACGCATGGGTCCCCGTGGTGGGTCCCAAGCAGCTGTGTGTGACCCGCCGTCCCTGTCACGGAGCGTGTAAAGTAGAGAGGAGCTCGGTTGGCACATGACGGACACGCGTGGGATCGTGGGATCATGGGATTGGTCCCGTCTTCATGGGACATTCCTGAGTTTCCTTCCTCAGCGGTTTGATGTGGGGAAGTGCCGTTTGCGCCTCGTTTGTTTCTGCGTGTTGAGTTTTTTCCCACATACCACCTGGACCCACACGGACCCTTGGAGACCCTCGGGGCCCCTCAGGGACCCTCAGACCTGCAGGGACCCTCGGGGACCCTCAGGCACCTGCAGATCTTCATGGACCCTTGGGTGACACTCAGGGATACGCAGATCTGCATGGACCCTTGGGGACCTTTGGGGACCTTCAGGGACCCACAGACCTGCAGGGACCCTTGGGGACCATTAGGCACCTGGCGGACCCTCGCTGCCGAGCTGGGCTGTGGGACGGCAGCAGGAGCGTGGTCAGGTTTGGTCGTGGACATGAAGGGGAGGCCCCGGTCAGTGGCGAGAGGTGGACGCCCGTCGCTGTCCGTGCCGGGGCCCACACGGCCACACCCCGCCCACGTGCCGGGACACGCAGAGCCGGGGTGACCCCGAGCCGGAGCCAGCATGTGGGTGCAGTCAGCACTGCAGACCCGAGCAGACGTGACGGGGGCGTCTCGTGGATAGGCCGGTGTCCCTGACACATGACGTACAAACATGTGACGGGGCAGGACACGCACATGCAGCGTCTGAGCCCCTCTCCGTGGGTGCCTCCGGGTGCTCCTCCCTCGGGAGCACGGGCTGCGGTCAGGCCATCCCACGTTCCCGAGCCTCGCCCGTCACGTTCATCTGTCTCCGTGTGAGGTGCCGGCTCTGCCCAGCGACCCTCAGCCCGCTCGGGTGCCCCCGACCTCTCCCCCCGCGGCCTCTGTCTTGCCCTCCCGCCCCCTGCGGGACCCTCTGCTTTGTGCCCTGGGTCATCACCTGCTCTTACAGGCCGTGCCCCTGCCGGCCGGCTGCCGGCCACGTCCAGGGACCTTGTCAGCCTTTTCGTTCGGCTGTTGCTCGCACGGCAGCGTTCACCGATGGCATTCACTGCCCGACACCCGGCTCTGCTCAGGGGTCTCCCTGGTGCCACGCGCGGGAGGAGGCGGGGGAGGCATGTGGGATGTTGGGGGCCCGGCCCACGTGGCCGTGTGCAGGGCGAGGCTCGTGGGCTTGTGGGCACCTTTCCCCGGGCCCTGCAGCCGGTGCCTGTGGCTGCCCCGTGGCCGGCCCCGTCGCGTGGGGACCCGAGTCCCGTCCCCGCGCCCACGTCTGCATGCAGACGCCACTCGCTCGTGGGCCCGGCCAACCCCGCGGTGCGGGTGCTCAGGGGTCGGCCCGGCGAGGTCCGGCGTTCCTGAGACTGCTGAAAAACGCGAGTTACTGCCGGCGCCGTGGCCCAATTACTCTGTACTTACTTTACTTAGACTTTCGTAATTGGAAAAAGATTGGATGTCAGGACTTTGTGTTTTGTTGATTGTATTACCCAAGTCTTCTCTTTAATCATTCCCCGGATCCTCAGTATTAATCACTGGCTGGGGGCCGTGATCAGCCGCCGAGACAAGGCTCCGGGAGGGTGCTGGGGTCGCCCCCGCCCCCCACACGGGGCCCTCCCTGCCCGGCGGGCTGCGACGGTGTCACGATGGCGGCGTCTCATCCCTTGCCGCCGCCACCGTGCTGGCCCCTGGGCCTTTGCCCGGCCCTCGCCGCCCCCACCCCACTTCACAGCAGGGTCGGGAGGGTGGGGTCGTGGCCAGACTGCCTGCCGTGGGACTCACACTCTCTCCGGCCCTTTCTTTCTGCCCACAGAGGAGCTGCGGAGGCTCAGCTGGTCCGGGATCCCGCGGCCCGTGCGGCCCGTGGCGTGGAAGCTGCTCTCGGTGAGTCCCGGGGACGGCGCCGCCTGCCGGAGCGGGTCTGGGGGCCCTGCGTGCGCCCACGCGTGTGCCGGACGCGGCCGGGGCCCGCAGCCCGCGGCCGCTCTCGGGCTTTCTCTCTGAGCAGCCGGCGGGGAGCCCTCGGCGCTGACTCTAAATGGGGTCTGACTTGGAGCGTTTAAGAGACTTTCTTGCTAATGAGTCTTAATAAATTTGCAGCTTAGTACCTCGTAATCCTAACTGCAGATGCGGCCCCGAATAGCGAGTATTTATTGATTAAATATTCTCTTGCAATTAAGATCAGGCCCGCTGCAGTTGCTCCGAGTTTTGTTTGCTGTTTGGGATTCTGAGTGGTTTGCGCCCTGTTTTTGGAACCTCTTGGAGGTAGACGCGTCCGCCGGGCGGCCCGCGGGAAGCTGGGCACGCGGTGCTGGGGCCTCCCTGTCCTCCCAGATTGACTGTCCGTCCTTCTGTCTGTCCATCCGTGCGGGCGTCTGCACTGTCCGGGCCCTAGGGTAGCAGCCGGGTTCAAGGGCTGAGGGGAGCCGGCTGGCCACCGGGAGGGTCTCACCGGGGTGTCAGGGCACTGAAGAGGGGGCCGGGCACTGCCCCCCAGCCCCGGGGTCTCCAGCTGCGGCCCCTCGGAGGCTCCCTGAGCCCAGGTGGTGCTGGTGGGCACCCTGCAGCCCAGGGCCTGCTCTGTTCCATGTTCCTCACTGGGCCCAGGAAGTGGCGGGCGGGAGCCATGGCCCGGGTCAGCTTGTGGGAATGTGTGGGCACACGTGTGTCCTTCCCGCGGGCACCGCCTCCCCACCCGAGCCCTGTCATGTGCCGACTGTTTCCACGAACGTGTGCCAGGCACTGGCCTTGCGTCAACATTCCGCAGGAGCACACGTGGGTGCCAGGCGGGGGCCCTGGACGTGGGCAGGCGGTCGGGAGGCAGTGTGTGCCCGGGGCCTCCCTGAGGTGGGCAGGGGCCGGGCAGCGGGGGCATGCAGGCCTGGACGCGTCCACACGGGCGGGGGCCTGCTGGCGGGTGCTGGGTGCCTTCCCGGGGTCCAGGGCTTCCCCCTCACCCGTGCTCCTGGGGTTCCTCCCGGGGCCGGGGCCTGGGAGGGGCTGTGCCGAGCCCCCCCCCCCCCCGTGTGGCGGGGGCTCTGTGTTTGGGGGGGCTTGGCGGGACTCGCGCTCCGCGGGACCGGGGCCGTCTCGGCCTCTCTCTCCTCCCAGGGTGCGTGTCAGTGGTGGCCACCGAATGGACACCTGTTCCATGTCCCTCCAGGTTGGGGCCCGGCTGCTGCCCGCGGCCAGCGGCCCCTCGGGAAGACCCTCGGGGACAGGGCTGGGCCGGGAGCCCCCGTAGGCACAGGTCGGGGCCCCTGGGAGCGTCGCCGAGAGCGGGTGCAGGCATTGTTTTACATCTATGATTAGTGTTTTTATAGCATGCTAATACAGCAATTAAGTCCCCTGTAGTTCTGTCATTTAAAATTCATCGCGTACCTGAGCCTGTCTCATTTGCATAATCCGAGTCTTCTCAATTATCCAGAGGCCCGGGCGCCCGTTCTCGGGCCCGTCCCCCCTGGCCTCGCCGACCCCCGCCGCTCCAGCCCTGCCCAGCCCCCGTGCCCGGCGAGGCCGCCCGTGGGTGTGTGTGACCCGGGAGCCCCCAGGGCCGTGTGTCCTGTGTCCGTGTGTCCCGGGAAGGCGCTGCAGAGCCTGTGTGACGGGCCCGGGAGCCCCCACTCGAGCCAGGGGCGTTTCCCTCACGGGCGCCCGGTGCCCGCTGAGGGCTGAGAGGAGCCGGAACCGCACATGGTGCTTTCCTCGGGCGACCGAGACTCAGGTGTTTCCCTGCGGCCGGCCGGGCCCCCTGGGGGCTCGGGCTGCTCTTGGCTCTGTGCTCGGCGGGCGCGGGTGCTGGGTGCCGGGCCAGGGGCTGCTGCGTGCATCTCGAGCTGCTGTGTGGGCGGCGAGAGCGGCAGCCGGAGGCGTCTTGACCGTGCCGCTGGCCCGAGAGTGTCGGGCGTTCCCCACGGGGGACACAGGCCCCGCACGGGGGTGTGAGAGTGTGCGTGTGTGCGTGAGAGTGCGGAGTGTGTGTGTGAGTGTGCATATGTGAGTGTGTGTGTGTATGCACGTCTGTGAGTATATGAGTGTGCATGTGTGTGTGTACGTGTGTGTGAATAGGTGCGTGTACGTATGTGCGTGCCTGTGTGCGTGTGAGTGTGCATGTGTGTGTATAGGAATGTGTGTGCTTGTGTGCGCACATGTGTCTGCGTGTTTGTGTGTGTAGGAGTGTGTGTGTGTGTGTAAGCACACGCCTGCACGCGGACAGCTGCAGTGGTGCGTGTGCTGCCTGTGTTCCAGCTCTGGCCGGTCGTCGGGGGGGGGAGCCCTGCCTGGAGGTGGGGCTGGCGGAGTGCAGGCGGCTGCAGCCCCTCGAGGCCGTGCCCTTGGCCCAGCCCCCCGTCCTCGTGGCGTCCGCGCGTGTGCGTGTCGGGGCCGTGACGTGTCCGCGCTCTCCCGCAGGGCTACCTCCCCGCCAACGTGGACCGGCGGGCGGCCACCCTGCAGCGGAAGCAGGAGGAGTACTTCGCGCTCGTCGAGCAGTACTACGGCTCCCGCGAGGACGAGGCCCACCAGGACACGTACCGGCAGGTGGGCGCCGGCTGGCCGCGGGGGAGGGGGCGTGGGTCTCGAGACCCCCTCGCATGCTGACCCCACTGCAGGCCGGAGCAGGCCTCTGTCCTGGGGGCTGGGGGGTGCGACCGTCTCTGCCTGGAGGGGCTTGAACACCGAGTGTGGGGCTGGGTGCCGGGGCCCTCCGTGCTGAGAGGTGCCTGCCTGGGGCCCTCGGGCCTGCGTCCCCCACCGCCCACCACGTGGGTCTGCTCAAAGCCCCCAGAGATGGTGTCCCCGGGGGGGGGGACTTTTGTGAGAGAAACTTCTAGAGTCCCACGTGGCCCTCGTGAACGGAGCGTGTGGCCTCAGGCCTCGCTTCCCGCCACGGCTCTGCCTCCTGTGGGTGCTGGCAGAGCTCAGGGTCCCACACGCTGCACACGCGTGTCTGCAGCCCCGCCCGGTCCCTGCCACGGGGCTTGGCCACGGTGGCCACAGCAGCCTGCGTCCGTCCTTCCGTTCCCCCCTCCAGTGGTCTCTAGACACCGGAGCTCACCCTACTGCCCGCCTGCATTTGCTTTCTGGATGCTTTGGTCACCCTTGGGGCTGGGCAGGGTGGGGGGTGTCTGGAGCTGGGGGCCAGCTCTAGGTCACGGGAGGTCCTGTGGCACCAGGTCTGCGTCACGATGGGGACCGGGGCAGAGGTGGCACAGAGTCCCTGTCCCCTCTCGGCATGCCGATATCAGCCTCTGCCCCGGCCAGCCTGACCTCTCTGGGGACAGGGTGAACGCTTGGGTGGACGCAGTGCCCAGTGCCCAGGACTCTATGGACACTTGGGTGGACGCAATGCCCAGTGCTGGCTTCCCAGAGCCCCCGGGGACGGGCGCGGCCGAGAGCGTGTCACCGTGTCACACCAGCGCTGACCCAGCCTCCTCCCCTTTGTCCCCGTGGGCGGGGCCTGTCCCCTCTGAGAGCCGCTCTCTGCCGTCCCCAGATCCGCATCGACATCCCTCGGATGGGCCCCGAAGCCTTGGTTCTTCAGCCCCGAGTGACGGAGGTGAGTGGGGCCCCCGGTGGGGGGGGCGGGCTGTGTTGCCGGGGGCTGCCCACAGCTGCTGCTGTCCTGCGCGTTGGACCCCGGTGCCGGGCAGCGTGGCGGAGGCGGCGTCCGGGACGGGAGGGCATGCCAGGGGTGCTGCCCGCCCTGCTGCCTCGGGCCTTTCCCTCCCCCTCCCCCGTTTTCGGGCACCCAGGTCTCCGGGTCCCCAGCACCCGCCCGCCCTCCCGTCCCCGGTGAGGCCTCGGCCACTCCCGTGGGGCGTCGGAGGCGGCTTCGCCGGGGTCAGGCACACAAGCCCGACCAGCGTCCGTGGGGAGCCCGGGAGATGGGCACTGTTGGGCGGTGTGCCGGCCCCGGGGCCTCGCCCTGGTTGGAGTGGCCCCCGCGGTCCCTTCCCCGGACTCGGCGCCAGGAGCTGCCCTGAGCCAGGGGCCTCGTCTCGCGCCCGCCCCGCCGCCGACACTCCGTTTTACTCAGGCCGTTGTTAATGCCCTTCAGGGGAGTTTTAAAATTTGCTCCATAAAAGGTCCGGCGTATCTTTTATTAGATTTGTTCCCGGTTTTTATATATTTTGTTGCCATTATAAGTGGTGGTTGTTGGGAAGATTCCTTTCGTGTCCTGATTGTTCCCATAAAGTCCTTCTAAACTCGGACATCCCTTGAGCGTGCAGTCAGTGAGATTTGGAATCATCCAGATGACCAGGGTGAGGGCGGCCGGCGGCTCCGGGCGGGGGCAGCCGAGTGCCCGTGGACGCCTCATCTGCCCGGCTCTGCCCGGCTCCTTTTGTGTGACGATGGTGACTTCCTTCTCGCCTGCTCTGCGTGTGTGTGTGTGTGTGTGTGTGTGTGTGTGTGTGTCGGGGGGGGGGGGGGAGGTGCGGCCCTTCCTGTGTTTCCTGTTCCTGGACTTCCACATGGCCCTGCCCTCGGGGCCTCGTCCATCCCGGCCCCTGGTGGGTCTGTCTGTCCCGGCAGCCTCAGGCCAGGTGGGCCTCTCTGGACCCGGGGGCTCCTACTCGGGAGCTGAAGGGATTGGGCATAGCTGTGTGTGTACGTGTGTACGTGTACCTTTGTATATGTGTGTGTCTGTATATTTGTGTACGTGTACCTCCATATGTGTGTATGTGTGTGTAGCGTAACTTCTGAGTATGTGAGTCAGTGTGTGTACATGTACCCCATACGTGTGTCAGTGTGTGTGTGTGTGTGTAAGTGTCTGTATATGTGAGTACCTGTACCTCTGTGTGTGTGTCAGTGTGTATGCATGCATATCTCTGTACATGCGTGTCTGTATGTGTGTGTGTGTGTACCTCTGTGTGCACCTACCTCTGTGTGTACGTGAGTGCCTGCATGTGTACCCTGTGGATCTGTGGATCTGTGTATGTGAGTGTGATCTGTGTGTACGTGTGTGCATGCGAGCCTGCGTGTGTGATTTGTTACGTGTTTTCGACGTCCCTGTGTGTCTCTGTGCGTGCGTGCGTATACTGCGTGTCCCTGCGGGCACATCCGCGCGGCCGCGTCTTCACCCTCGGCTTCTTCCTCTTGCTGCGTGTCTTCCAGATTTTCGAGCGGATCCTGTTCATCTGGGCGATCCGCCATCCTGCCAGTGGCTACGTGCAGGGCATCAACGACCTCGTCACGCCTTTCTTTGTCGTCTTCCTCTGTGAGCACATAGGTAAGAGCGTGGCCTGGCGGCAGCTGATCACACACACCGGGGAGTGGGGCCTTAGCCGCCGGTGTCCGGCTCGCAGTGTCCCCGCCTCCGGGCCCGTGGGGGTCCTGCGGCCTGTGCCCCAGCGGTCCGGATGCAACCGGGGTGGTGGGGGCGAGGGCAAAAATATTCGCTGAATGTTTTGCTTACGAGTTAGAAGCCGAGTCCTCTCCTAATTGCATTTCTGCGGCGTTTCGACTCTTGATATACTAGTAGCGTTTCATTTTACGGGAATATTAATTACAGGCAAGGCCGTTACCCCGGTGGACGTTCAGGCTGCCTCGCGCGCGTCTCCCTCCGAGCACGGCCTGCGGTTCCTTGGATTTATGTCGCGGCAGCCAGACTGTCTTTCCGTGGTGCCTGTCTCCCCCCTAGCCTCAGCGTGTAGAAGAACCGTGACCTTGTGAACGAGGCGTGGGTCGCCTCTGGGTTCCCGGGGGTGACGAGCTGGTCCCAGCCCTGTCGGGCGGGGTCCCGGGCGAGGCTGCGGCCCTCGGCCCCCCCCCCCCCCACACACACACAGGCTGTGTGCCTCTCCGCCCCTGGGCCCTGTTTCCCCCTGGCCCGCTGCAGTGGTGGCAGGTGGGTGGGTGGGCGGGCAGGGGCAGGCGGGCTCCAAGTGGCTCCCCCCCCCACTCATTGGGCAGATAATGAAAGTGCCGTCGTGATCCCGGAACCCCGGGCCTCTGTCAGGGCCTTCGGCGCTGCTAATTGAAAGAAGTTCAGCTGCGATGTGATTAGAGAATTGATATTCCATGTTAAATCGACCATATAATTAATGTGGTAAATAAGTTTGTCTTAACTGCTACCACCAACTTAGGTTGTAAGACCCAAGTGATCCTTAATGCCTTTGCCTCGTTGTCAGCAGACAGGCCAGGGGACGCGGCCGCGGCGCTAATTGCCCGGAAAAACGGTGGGAAAGACCTTCTGTGTTCTGCACCGCGGGCTTCCGTAGGCGCCGGCTCCGCGCGGCCCCGCCCCCACGCACACTCACACACACACATGCACACACATGCATGCACACACATGCACGTACACACACAACACACATACACACGTGCACACACACATGCACGCATATGCACACACATACGGGCTTCCCATAGGTGCATACACATGCATGCACACATACACACACACACACACGAGCTTCCATAGGCACCGTCTCCGCACAGCCCTGCCCTGTGCGCACAGACACACGTACACACGCACACACACATATTCACGGGCTTCCGTAGGCACCATCTTCACAAGCCCTGCCCCCGTGTGCACACACACGTGCTCACACATGCACACACATGCCTGCACACCCGCTCACGCACATGGGCACACAGGCACGTACGTGGGCACAGGCCTGCTGTCCCCCAGCGGACCTGCCCTGCACATGGGCACGCACACGGGCGCACGTGCCTGGGTGGCCCCGCCCAGCACCTTGCTGCCCAGTGGACGTTAGTGATTCGGCCCCGGTTTCCTCTGGGGGCTGGTGGGCAGCGGCTTCCGGGCTGGACTCGGCCGCCGGCCCTGGCGCCCGCTCCCTGCCTCCAGCGGCCTCGTCCTTGCCGCCCTCTGGGCCCGGTGGCGGGTCTGCAGGGCCAGAACCGCGGTCCCAGGTGCTGAAATGCCTGCCGTGCCCCGGCAGCCGTGGCCAGTCCTGCGTGCTGCCCACTCGGCGCAGAAGCGGCCTCGCTGTGGGCGCCTGGCCAGCCGAGTGGGCAGAGTCGCAGTCGTGAGGACAGGCAGGACACGGCGGGGCTCTTGGCACAGGGCGGAGGGGCTGTGAGGGTCCCGCACGCACCGCACTCCTGCTGAGGGCGTTGGGGGTCGCCCATTCAGGCTGGAGATGCTAGCAGGTCCGCGAGGGCCGTTTCTGGTGGCGCCTGGAGGATGGCAGGCAAGGTGCGGGGAGGGCTCTGGGCACCCGTGCTGGGTCGGCATGGCAGGAGCAGACACCCCGCACTCGGCCCCTGGCGCTTCAGGACGCTCGCCCGCTGCGGCTGGGAGGGGACGAGAGCCGCCCAGAGCGGCGTCCCCTGGAGCACCACCAGCACAGGGCACGCCCTCGCCGCCGGTCAGTCACAGACTCGTCAGAACTGAAAGGGCCGCCGTGTCGCCGAGAGCCCGTGACACAGGTCCAGGGCCCCAGGGAGGCGGCGGCTCCTCTCACTGTTCCCAGAGCACCGGGACCCCAGATGCCGAGGAGACGCAGGCTCCGTGGGAGAGACTCGGCCGTGGGCGCTGCAGGCGGTGCAGGGAGTGTTAGACTGTTTCTCTGACGGGCAACTGTCACCCTTGAGTGGAGGGACTCTGACACGCTCTGCAGGGCCACCGAATAAAACCCAGGCAGGGTCCGGACGGGCATTTCTCAGAGATGCACCGACACCGGCACAGCCCCAGGGAAGCAGTCAGGAGCGCAGAGAACCTGCCGAGAGAGACGCTTTCCACGCGCCGCCTGGCAGCGACCCGACCAGGGATGGCCAGGGCAGCACCAGGTCCCCACAGCAGGCCGGCACTCACGCTGTTGCGAGGGGCCCATCTGCGGCAGTGGGCTGCCAGGCACTAGGCACCTGGGAGCCTGTCACCCGCTGCAGAGCCAGCAGGAGGAGCGACTTCCTGGGTCCTGGGTGCCTTTGGGGGCACAGACTTCTGAAGCAAGGAGCGGGGTCATTGCACAGATGTGTCTGTGCTGAGACCCACGTTCCGTGGCCAATGGTGTGTGCTCAAGCCGGTGTTTGTGTACCGGGAACCACGTTCCGTGGCCGACGGTGTGCGCCTGAGCTGGTGTCTGTGTACCGAGAACCACGTTCCGTGGCCGACGGTGTGTGCCTGAGCCGGTGTTCGTGTACCGAGAACCACGTTCCGTGGCCGACGGTGTGTGCCCAAGCTGGTCCCAGATAGGCAGTTTGGCGGTTGGGCCACGGCATGTCTGCGTGGCCTCCTGACGTTCCTTTCTCCTGTGGGTGTCTGTGAGGGTGAGGGCTGGTCCCTGCTGCTGCCTCGTGCTTGCAGGGTTCCCCTCCTGGGTGCCGGCCGAGGCCTCCGCAGGCCCGAGCAGCTCTGAACGTGCTTTTCCGTGTGCTGCGGGGGGTGGGGCCGGGGTCTCCGCCGTGAGTCTGGGGCCGTCACCGGCCCAGGCCGGGCCCCCTGTGTTCTCACTGTCCGCACACACGGCCGCAGCTCCGGGACGTGGGCGTCCTCTCCGTTTTCGGGGCGATCTGCTCGCCAAGAGGCGCCGGTCTATCAGCAGAGTTTTTCTTTTAGCCCCGCGAACACTCGCTGGCTTGTTTTCCAGGACGACGCTGGGCCGCCGCCCTCCCGGCCTCGGAGATTGACACCTCGCTCCGTCTTTGTCTGCTCCCGCACCCGTTATTAAGCGGCCTCCGCTGGCTGGCGGGGAGGCGCCGGTGCTGGGGCGGCAAGTCGCACGTGTTCTCCGTTGGTCTCTGCGTGCACACACATGTGCTGACACGTGTGCATATGTGTACACGTGTGTGTGCAGGTGTGCGCGCGCGCGTGTGCTCACGTCCAAGGCAGATGGACGTTTGGGTCCCGGCGAGTCTCGTCCGTGTGCCGGCGTTTCTGGGGGGCGGGGGGAGAGAGGCCAGAATCAGCTTGTAGAATCAGCTTCCAGGGACCTCCCCGCCCCGCCCCGCCCCCTCGCCGCCGTGTCCTCGCCTGCTCTGCCCTTGCTCTAGCCGCTCAGCGTCCGGGGGCCGTGTGCCTGGGCTCGTGGGTGCCGCGTCTAGCAGCGCACGGCACTTACATACGTGTACACACGTGTGGAGGCTGCCTGTGCACGTGTGCTGGTGCTTGTGCACGCGTGACGGCTGCACACGTGTGTGTGTGTGTGTGTGTCTCACTTGGCGTGTCCCCGCAGCGTGGGCCCTTGTGTGTGCGGGGCTGAGGTTGGCAGCGTGCCCCTCGCCTGGGCCCTGGGCCGAGCACAGGCCGGTGCAGCGGAGTCTTGGCGGTAAGGCCGCGCTCCTGTGGCCCTGGTGGCGTCTGTGTCTGAATCGTCATGGCGATAACAACGCGCCGTTTTGCCGGCGGAGCCCAGACTCAGAAGCGGAGAACGCTCCGGGCGGGGAGCAGAGGCCCATCTTGGGCCCCCACGGTTGGTTTGTGACCGGTGGGTCCCGCGTTCCTGAAGCAGACCCCGGGGGGCGCGGGGTCCATGCAGCCTGTCCCCCCAGTGCGTGGGCCCTGCCGTGCTGGCCCAGGAGAGTTTGGGGCCACGGAGCCGGAGGGTCTTGGACGGTGGCATGACAGCTGGGAGGGCGGGCGCCAGGGACAGCCTCGTCACGCGCTCGGCACCTGTGTGCTGCCTCTCGTGGTGGGGTCTGTGTGGGGAGCTGCTGGCCCGCGACCCCTCTCTGCCCTCGGCCGTTCTGTCTCCACGACCCCCTGCAGGGCTGGGAGGGGCGGGGAGCCCCCGTGAAGAGAGTGGCGGGGGCAGGGATTGCCGCACCCAGAGCCTCAGTCCCACACGCCTCCTCCAGGAAGACTCCTGGGCCTGCACCCCTCCCTGTGCCAGCGGCCGTCCTCCTCTGAGGCTCTTGGCATCCTGAAGTTTGTCCCCTGGGAGGCAGCTCACCCCAAGTCCATCCCCGCGGTGGGGCAGAGGCTTCGAGGGGGCCCCCCGCAGCACCCCGTCTTACTCGCCGCTGGCCAGGCCGAGGGGAAGTGGGTCATCCCCGCCCAGGACCCGAGGGAGGGTCGTGCCCGGGCAGTGGGGCCGCGGTGGCCGTCGCCAGGACGCAGGGTGCCTGCGAACGTCCCGCCCAGTTGTGGGGCTCACGGGAGCTGGGCAGGGCCGGCCGACCCCTCGGAGGGACACGTCCCCCGCCCCCCGCGGGACGGACCAAGCCGCGCTCCCGCCCGCCCGGGAGGGAAGGGGTTACCCTTGTAGTATTTTATTGAACCACAAAATGTTATTTATAACCCATGTCAGGAGCAATTAAACTGATTGATGATTAAGAAAGTTTAATAGTTGAATAATAAGATGCTGTTCTTGACAGCTATTTTTTCTCATTTTGGAAGCATATTTTATGAGTCTAATAACAGCGCGAAGGGTGGCGGAGGGGTGGGCTGCGTGTAATTACACGGGGCGGGGGATGCGCTCGGCGTTACCTGGGAGGCGACCGGGGAAGATTAAAACACCAATTATGACTTTTGATTTATTATTGGGGGGGTTCGTTAATTGGAACCTATCGCAAGAGCGGGGTTAACGGGTTCGCCGCGGCAGGTTTGGTTAAGAGCCGCGGCCCGCCGGGGGGCTACGGAGGGGCCGCTGTCTCCGGCGCCTCCTGCAGGCTGGGAACCCGCGCCCAGTGTCGGGCCGTGTCCACTCGCCCCGCGCGGCCGTGAGGGCCTCCGGGGCCCCGTGGCCGCTGTCGGCGAGGGGGAGGTCTCTCCCCGGAATCGGCCGCGGCTGGCGTGAGGCAGGAATGCTGATCAACTCGAGGCGGGCTTCATCGGTAATGAGAGTGCAAATTGGGCCAGCGAGTCTGTCTATCAATTAGAGAGGGGGAGAGAGCGAGAGAGAGGTGGGAGAGAGGGAGGGAGAGAGAGGGAGAGAGAGAGAGGGAAGGAGGGGGGAGAGAGGGAGGGGGAGAGAGGGAAGGAGAGAGAGGGAGGGAGGGGGGAGAGACGTGTTGAGGGAGGAGGGTCTGCGGAGGGAGCTGGGGCCTCTGCCCTTTGAGGCTCCGTTCTCGGCTGATCGGATGAGCTGAGCCCATCAACCCAGCTGACTGATCGACGATCCGTGTGTGTGTTTGGACCACGGCGGCTGAGGCGGTGCCCGCCCCTCCCTGCAGGACCCGGGGTCTCCGGGGCCCGCCTCTCTCCCCCACGGCCCTGGGTGCGGGGCCGGGATGGGACGGGTGGGCCGTGGTCGGCTGCCGGGCAGAGGCACGGAGCGTGTCCCTCCCCGCTGCCTCCGCTTCCTCTGCTGGTTCCGCGTCTGCACGCGTGTGTGCCCCTGCCTGCCCCGGGCTCTGTCCTCGCTGCAGGCCCTCAAGCGTCTGTCTGCAGGGAGACCCCCCCCCCGCGCCCCTCCCTCCTTCCCGGGGGCCCCATCAGAGCTGCTCTGAGGCGCCTCTGGGGTTCGTGCGTGAGTGTGGCATGACCCAGTGTGTGCTCGTGTGAGTGTGTGAGTGTGAGCGTGGGTCTGGGTGTGAGTGTATGAAAAAGTGAACGTGCGTGTGTGAGCACGTGTCTGGCTGTGAGTGTGCAAGTGTGTGTCCGAATGCGAGAGTGTGTGAGACCGAGCCTGTGCCTGGGTGTGTGTGGGATGTGAGAGTGTGTGAGCGTGGGTCTGGCTGTGAGCGTGTGTGTGAGTGTGTGAGTGTGGGTCTGGCAGTGTGTGAGCGTGGATCTGGCTGTGTGTGTGGGTCTGGCTGTGAGTGTGTGTGAGTGTGTGAGCGTGGATCTGGCTGTGTGTGTGGGTCTGGCTGTGAGTGTGTGTGAGTGTGTGAGTGTGGGTCTGGCTGTGTGTGTGGGACTGGCTGTGAGCGTGTGTGTGAGTGTGTGTGTGGGTCTGGCAGTGTGTGAGCGTGGATCTGGCTGTGTGTGTGGGTCTGGCTGTGAGTGTGTGTGTGTGAGTGTGTGAGTGTGTGAGTGTGGGTCTGGCTGTGTGTGTGGGACTGGCTGTGAGTGAGTGTGTGAGTGTGTGTGTGGGTCTGGCAGTGTGTGAGCGTGGATCTGGCTGTGTGTGTGGGTCTGGCTGTGAGTGTGTGTGAGTGTGTGAGTGCGGGTCTGGCTGTGTGTGTGGGACTGGCTGTGAGTGTGTGTGTGAGTGTGTGTGTGGGTCTGGCAGTGTGTGAGCGTGGATCTGGCTGTGTGTGTGGGTCTGGCTGTGAGTGTGTGTGTGTGTGAGTGTGTGAGTGTGTGAGTGTGGGTCTGGCTGTGTGTGTGGGACTGGCTGTGAGTGAGTGTGTGAGTGTGTGTGTGGGTCTGGCAGTGTGTGAGCGTGGATCTGGCTGTGTGTGTGGGTCTGGCTGTGAGTGTGTGTGAGTGTGTGAGTGTGGGTCTGGCTGTGTGTGTGGGACTGGCTGTGAGTGTGTGTGTGAGTGTGTGTGTGGGTCTGGCAGTGTGTGAGCGTGGATCTGGCTGTGTGTGTGGGTCTGGCTGTGAGTGTGTGAGTGTGAGGTCTGGTTGTGGGTGTGTGAGTGTAGGGTCTGGGTGTGAGAGTGAGTGTGAGATGCACTTGCTGGGGGTTGTGGGTCCCTCAGACCGTCCCCTCCTGGCCACGGGCCGTCACCCCTCATTGTCTCCGTCCGACGCTCCTTCTCTGCCCCAGCGCCCGGCTCCCCCGAGGGTGACACGCAGGCGCTGCCAGGGGCGAGTGGTGTCGATCCCGGCAGCCCTACAGGGGTGACTGGCTCCGGGCCCCCCGTCTCACTCCGCCGAGCACTTGGAGGGAGTCTCATCCCACAGAGCAGTGTTAGGCCTCCCCGGGATGCAGCTCTGGGCTCAGGGCCTGGGGTCTGAGCCGAGTCCGTGCTCGCGCCCGATGAGGTGTCTGGACCCGCCGTGTGTGTGTGTGTGTGTGTGTGTGTGTGTGTGTGTGGCGTTGGCGCTTCCCAGAGTCCCCATGGCAGGTGTGTGTGTGTGTGATGCCCTCGGAACCCGCTTCCTGGCGGGAGCCCCGGCCGGGCGGCGCTGTGGGACCCAGGGGTGGGCACAGGTGGCCGGGCCCGTGCTGACCGCCCTGTCTCTCCTTGCTGGGCACAGAGGAAGAGGCCGTGGACGCCGCCGACATCTCCCGCGTGCCCGAAGAGGCCCTGCGCAACGTGGAGGCCGACACGTACTGGTGCATGAGCCGGCTGCTCGACGGGATCCAGGTGGGCCGCCCACATGCGTGGACACGCCTGCACGCGCCACGCAGCGTGTGTGCGTGTGTGTGCGCTGCGGGCAGTAGACGTGTTCCGGGCAATGTGCAGCGTGTGGGTGTGGGCTGCGGTTCCGTGCCTGTGTGCGTGTGTGTGTTGCGGGTAACGCACCCATGTGTGCGTGCTCGCGTACACGTGGCAGGCATTGCGTCCCACGAGCAGCACACGCGTGTGCGTGTGGCATGCCGTGACTGTCCCTGCAATCAGTCGCAGAGCAGAGCAGGCCGTCCGGGCCGAGCAGCAGGGGGTGTCCCCAAGTCTCCCGTGGGCCCTGCTCTGAGCCCAACCCAGCGGGTGAGCGTGTCCGGCCCGGCCCCGGGCCCATCCCCTGCCCCCCCTTCCCGAGCCTGGGCCGTGCTCCTAGTGTTTCTCACTCCACGTCACTCTCCTGAGCATCAGTGACGCCCTGCCTGGCTGTGGGTGCCGTGGTGGGTGACACGACTTTCCTAGGGGGGTCCGTGAGCAACCTCTGCTCTCTCTGCAGTGCTCGCTCGGCAGGGCCCTGTGTGGACCGGGCCCCCCCCAGCTCCTCAGACCGGGCCGCACAGGCCACTGGAGCCCTCGGGCCGGCCCTGCTGCCGTGAGTGCAGAAGAGAGAGGCTCGAACCCTGGCCACACGCACGTGTCCCTTCGAGGGGACGCAGAGCGTGTGGCGGGACACAGGCTGCCCCCTCTCGTCCCGTGACTCCTGCCCGCGCACCTCTGCCCGGCCGATGGGCTCAGGCCCACGCCGTCCGGCCCCTCCGAGGCCGTCAGCTGACGACGGTGCCGGCTGCCGGGCCACGGGGAAGGTCCATCACCATCCGGTCAGCAGCGGCAGACAGTTTAAAAATGAAAACGCAGGAGCAGCCAATTTACGGCAGCGCCGCGGAACAGGAAATCTATACGCGGCCGGATGGATGGCCCGCTCCCGTTAATCACCGCGGGCTCCGCCGGGGCGCCCGGCGCCCGCCCGCCGCCCGGGCCCGTCCCGTCCCTGTCCCGTCCCGAGGGTCGCTCTGGGCCTCGGCTGGGGTGCTGCTGTCGGGGCCCGCCTGGCAGCTTCTCCTTGGTGCCCCCCTGGGCTCTGCTGCCCCCTGGGGCCCATCCACGCCACCCAGGCCCCTCCACGGGCACGTCCTGGGCACACGGCCCCGCTGTGTCTGTGCCGAGATGCCGTCCTTGGCCCGTCCTCCCCGGGAGTGGCCTCGGGCTCCCAGCTCTCGTCTCGGGCTCCCAGCTCTCTGTCCCCGCCCGCCTCTCTGCGCCTCCCGTGGCTGCCGGCTCTGGCCTGGCCTTTGGGTCTCTCTTGGGGCCCCTGGAGACCGGTCTCCCCCTCCCTCCCCGTGCCACGGCCACGGCGTCCCCCTTAGGGCCCTTCTCTGGGCCCCCGTGTCTTTGTGGTGTGTGTCTGAGCGAGTCCATCCCCCGTGTCTGGGCCGAGCAGATCAAGGAACAGAACAGAACAGTGGCCGGTGGAGACCCCAGGGTGACCTCCTGCACCAGAAGCCGGGGAGGGTCTCGGGGCCCCAGGGTGGGGGCTTCCTCCTCATCTCTGGGCCGAGGTGGGAGACGGCCGAGCTCCCCCCGCCCCTTCCCGCCCCCCGTGTGGCCCGTGGGGGCTGCTGTCCTGCGGCGAGCGCCGGGGTGGGCGTGTGCCCGGCCGTGTGGCGCCCGGCCCGCCCCCTCACGCCCGCGGTCCCCGCAGGACAACTACACGTTTGCGCAGCCCGGGATCCAGGTCAAGGTGAAGATGCTGGGGGAGCTGGTGAGCCGCATCGACGGTGAGTCCGGGGCCCGGCTCGGGGCTGGGGGCTGGGTTCCGCGTCGGGGAGGGCGAGGGGCCCGCGGGGGCTGCAGGCCCGTGGCTCCCGGCTGGGCGTCGGCGTCGCGAGACCCGCGGCTCCTCCGGTCACTCGGAGCTTTGCTGCTGCAGTGACGCCGCCCGGGGCTGCCGCCACACCACCGGGCACGCGCCCCTGCGGGGTGGGCGGGAGACCCCGTGTCCCCGTGTCCCACAGGGCGGGGCCCCTCCCAGAGGCCTCCTTGCTCCCAGACTGCACTTGTGAGTGAGTGTGTGTGTGTGTGTGTGTTGATGGTGCACGTCTCTGTGCGGCTGCGTGTGACCGGGCGCGACTGTGCACGCGACCTGCAGCTGTGTGTACGCGACTGTGGCCAGCTGCGATTGTGCACGTGTGTGACTGTGCGGCTGTGCACGTGACCGCGTTGAGTGTGCAGGTGAGCGTGTGCATGCCTGTGACTGCACGTGTGACCGTGTGTGCACGCGGCTGTGTGACTGTGTAGACTATGCATGTGTGCGTGTGCACGCCTTTTGTGACCAAGTGTACACACAACCGTGTGTGTGAGCGTGTGTCTGACGGCATGGTCATATGTGTCTGCATTTATGCGTGGCTGCATGTTTGCCTGCGGTGTGAACATGTGTGTGACCGCGTGTCTGTGCATGTATGTGCATGGCTCTGCGTGTGCATGACTGTGTGGGCATGCGTGTGTGTGTGCGTGCATGTGCGTGTGTGTGACTGTGCATGTGTGTGCATGTGTGTGTGTGACTTGTGTGCCCTGTTCCCAGGCAGCGTTGTGTGCTGAGGTGGTGCCGCCTCCTCCACGTGTGCCCCGCAGGCCGGTGCCCATTGCAGGCGTCTGTCCCTGTGGGGCTGCGGGCGCGTCCAGATGCTCACGCCTGGGCCTCCTGGCTCTGCGGCGTCTGGCAGCCATGACCCCCCGGGCCGGAGGCCGCACACGTGTCTTCCCAGTGCCTGACCAGCCCGAGCTGCTGCCTCCCTCCGCTGCTTCCCCCGGGGCCCGGGCAGGGTGGGCACCGCTGACCTCACAACCCCCGGGCCCCTGCCCGCCCCCAGCTCAGCCATCCCGGCCTGGTGGGGGCCCAGCTGCAGCCCGCGGCCGGGCGCGCCTCTGTGCGTGGACACTGTGGCGTGGCGGGGGGTCACCTCGCCACCCACGGGCGGGGCTTCTTCCGCCGTTCCACAGGCATGCGGTGGGGGCGGGACATTCCGGAAGCCCCTGGAACGGTCCTCCTGGTGCTCAGGGCCTGTGGCCGCCGCCACACACTTTCCCGTCCCTGTTTTTTAATTTGGGTTAAATGTGATTTTAATGAAATTTTCCTGAAAGCTGTCTCGACGCCATTGTAAGGTTAAAATTGACTTATTCTTTCAAAGTAGAATCCAGTTACAGCCGGCAAACTGGATTCGGCTTCATTACCGCCGAGTGGAAATAGTTTATTACCGCGGCGAGGGGAGCGGCGCGGGCCATCAGTCAGCGCGGCTCGGCCCGCGGGCGCTCGTGCCCGGGTGTGCGGGTGTGGCCGGGGCCCCCGCGTCCCTGCAGCCGCCCCAGGCCGGGGCTTTTATGAGCACCGACACTTAATTGAACTGTTAAGTGGACACTTGCTCCCTGGCCTCCTGGAGAAACATCCAGCTCGTCCACGCAGGGTGAGCCGGTCCCCAACGCCGCTCTCCTGTGGCACCAGGTGGCCATGAGGGTGGACGCCCCACCCTGCCCTGCACAGGTCCCAGGGCCCTGGACAGGGAGGGGACAGGCTGGGGGTCAGGCAGGGGCCACTGTCCTCTCGCTCCCCTGCCCGGAGCCCTGCGGGGCCCGTCCCTCTGGGGGCTCCGGGCAGGGACCCCTTCTGCTCTCGTGGCTCTGTGTGTCCAGGGCGGGCGAGCCCCTGTGGCTGCAGAAGTCTGGGGCAGCTGTGCTCGCCTGCCGGGCACTGCCGGCCCAAGCGAGGAGCAGGGGGCCTGGGAGTGTCCGCGGGAGGTGACCCCAGATGGCAGACGGGCCCGTCCCTGAGCATCTGCGCTCCTGCCCCTGGGTTGGGGGGGCGGGTGTGAGAGCCGCCCTGTGCCGTGGACGTGGCCACGCTCCGTGGCCTCCCGGCCTGGTGCAGTGCCCAGAGCGCGGTGAAGGCTCTGCGTCAGGCGGGCAGAACCCTGAGCTTGGGCGCCAGCAGCTCTCTGCACAACGGCAGCGGGAGGAGCAGGTGCGGGGGGGTCGGGGATGGGCGCCCGGGCGTGAGTGCCCCGCAGAGCCAGCACTGGGCACCCCTGGGAGCTGGACTTGGCCTGGCCCGGCCAGAGAGCCCCAGCCGTGACCCCTGGGCCGCGGGGCTGCAGGCAGGGCCCTGGGTGCGGACACGGGGCCTTAGGCCTGTTCTTGGGCTCGGGAGGCAGGGCCTCCCTGCTTGTGTGTGGCTGTGTGGGTGGCTGTCCGAGCAGATCATCATCAGTACGAGGAGGCCTTCTCGGGCGCTGACGGGGTCAGCGCATCAGACCGGACGCCACCGTCCATCACGGTCCCGTCAGGCGGCTGATCAGGGACCACGGACACATGGTGATCTGGGGGAGCTGCGGGAAAACAGGCACCGTGAGCCCCTCCCCGTGGGAGACGCAGGGCGAGGCCAGCACGGCCCGGAGGGACTCGGGAGACCCCAGGGGAGACAGACGTGGACGTCGTCTGGGCGCCGGGAAGGCCCCTCGCAGTTCGGGCTGCGGCTGGTGCTGTGACCTCGGGTCGTAGGGTCAGTCAGGAGGGAAGCAAATGCTTTTAGCTGGACGCGGGCAGAAGTGCATTAAAAACATTTGCGGGATGCAAATAACGCCGTCCTCGGAGGGAAATTTATAGTCCGCGGGAAGACGCCGAGGAGCAAAGGTCCCGGCTGCGTGCCCTCCACCTGAGGAGGTCCGGGAAGGCAGCGTGGTGGGGCGGATGAGCCCTATCGATCAGCCTCCGGCCAGCTGCTCAGATCATCAACGTTAGTCTGAGGCGTTAGCTGTCACGACCAGCTGCACATAGGTCACTTGAAAGGGGAGTACGGGAGCGTCTGTCCACTCCATCCCGGTAAGCGGGGCAGCGGAGATGAAGTGGGTGCGTGTCTCCATACACAGGAGGCGGAGATCCGGGAAGGAAGGGGGTCCCCACGCAGCGCTTCACTCAGGCGCGAGACCCTCTGGCCTCAGGCCTCCCCGGAAGCGACGCTCGGCCTGACCCTCTCACGGACGGTGCTGGCCACCCCTCCCAGTGTCCGCCAGGACACGCCCCGGACCCTGCAGGGAAGGAGGGCCCGGCCCGGACGCCTTCCCCGGGTCTGGGGGGGACACCTTCAACCGGACCCCAGCCGGAGCCTGGCCGTGGGGGACGGTCTCGGTGCGTTTATTCCAGATGAAGCACTGATTTAGTTGTGAGAGAGGAAGAGTGAGGGGGTGGAGAAGGCCAGGAGAGAGGAAGAGAGAGAGAGAAGGAGGAAAGGAGGGAGGAAGGGAGAGAGAGGGAATTAGATGCAGCCGACCTGGGCTCAAACCCAGCCCCCGTCAGGGAGTGAGTGCAGGTGTGGCCGCCCCCGCAGGTGAAGCCCCTCTGACTCAGCTCCTGAGAACAGGAAATGGCCGGTCCCGCCCCCCCCACCCACCACGTGGCCTGTGGGAGCCTCCTCCACCCCCTCGGGCCTGAGGGTTGTGCCAGCACAGGGAGGTGGTTGGTGGGGGGGGGGGCGTCTGCAGTGCGTCTGGGCCTGTGTGTTGCTAAGCCCGAGGGTCCCGCTTTGCTGCCGGAAGGTTCTGGGTCCTGCTCCTGGCCGGGGGAGATCGTGGGCTGGTCTTGGTGCCTGGTGCGGCCGACGTGCTGGGCAGCTCCGGGCGGCTGGGTCTCGCGCCTGCGTGCGTGGTGACCGGCCCGCAGAGGGGCAGGAGCGTGTCCCTGGCGGGGCTGCGCCGTCCTGCTGGTGGGCTCAGGGGCAGAGGCCGGACGCGGGATCGAATGCCATTTCTGGTCTGAGCACGGGCAGTCAGAAGCGGAATGAACCAGGAACGCTCCCCAAGAGCACGAACGTGAGCTAGTCAGGGAAAACAGTACCAGGTGGAGCGGCAGCAGCCGGGAGGCACCTGCCCGGCACGCGGCTGACTCGGGTTTGACCCCGGCACCCGTGTGCGCACGTGACTGTGCGTGTGAGCGTGTGCCCGACTGCACGACTGCACGTCTACATATACATGTGACTGCATGTTCGCCTGACTGCGTGGACACGTGCGTGACTGTATGTGCATGACTGGGTGCGTGGCTCTGCGTGTGTGTGCGTGACTGCGTGCACGCGTATGTGTGATTGTGTGTGCGTGACTGTGCATGTATGACTGTGCATGTGTGTGATTGTGCATGTGTGTGCGTGACTCTGCGTGTGTGACTCGTGACTGTATGTTCATGTGACTGTTCATGTGACTGCGTGTGCATGCGTGACTGCATGTATGTGCACACGTGTGTGTGCACGTGTGTTTGCGTGACACTGTGTGTGTGTCCATGCATATAACCAAAGGTGCAAGCAGACAACCTCGAATGAAGCTCAAGTCCTCACCGAAATTCAGGGTGACCAGAAGTCGATCCCTGGCCAGGCATAGGGTCTCCCGCACACCTCCAGGAGTGGCTGGTCACCCCACACAGGGGGGTCAGAATCTTGTTGTCAGGGCGCAGACCCAAAGGTTCCAGGCCGCTGGCCGGAGGCTCTCCCCAGGGGCTGTGGCCGGTCGGCTCGGGCCCGCCAGATGCCGGTGAGCTGTGTGGTCGGCGCAGACGCGGGTGGTGCCTCAGCTCAGGGCCCTGCAGACCTGGAGTGGCCAGGAGCGCTGTGGGCGGCGGGCGGGCTGGTCTCTGCCCGCAGCTGCACCTTGTCAGGGCCCTGAGGTCGCCAGGGGAGGCCCAGGTCACCCCTGGCGTGGCAGAGCACGCAGCCCAGGAGAGGCCCGGACGGGACCCCCGAGCACAGCAGAGACGAACAGGTGAACCAGGATGGAGGAACCCCCCGCCCCAGCTCCAGCCCCCTCTCAAGAATCACACTGGGGGCTGTTGGCATGACGGGCGCTGGCCTTAGGGGTCAGGTGGGGTCAGGGACAGCATCTTCGGTTATAGACCACTGGCTGCCAGAATGTCAGGTGGGAGGCCGTAGGGAAGGGCACCCCCTCCCCACACACACATACACACAGACACACATACAGATATACAGACATACACAGACACACAGATACAGACACACACACACTGACACAGACACACAGAGACACACGTACAGACACATGCAGATATACAGATACACACACAGACACACACACAGACCCACACAGTCACGGACACCACACAGACACACACAGAAGCACAAAGACACATAAACACAGACATAGATATACAGAAGCACATAGACGAACAGACATACAGACACAAGGACACACAGACACACAAGGACACACAGACACGGGGACATGCACGCAGACACACGCATGTCTGTCCGGATGACACGAGGTCTCTCAGGCTGAAACTCAAACCATGAAACGTTGAAAGAAAATTCTGAGAAATTGGACTTCAGCGAGATTAAGGCCTTTTGTTCTTTGGTGTTACGGTTAATTTAATGAAATAACAAGCCAAAGACTGGGAGAGAGACTTGCCAATTCCATCTTACAAATGAATGTCTAGAGAACTCGCCTGGCTTACTCGGACGACCCGGTAATTAAATGAGCTCAGGGTTCGAGCAGATGCTTCGCTGCAGACATGAGCGGGTGGCCGCAGAGGTCGTGACGGAGCACTCGGCGCTGTCAGTCCTGTGGGAGAAACCGGGACAGACTCATTCGGCCGTGCCCGTGTGCCCTGCCCAGGCCTCTCCCCGCGGAGTGGAAGAACGGGAAGGGGAAGGGCTTGAGTTCACTGGAGTCTGACATAATCTGCACAACGGCACGGGGACCCCCGGGGAGGACCCGGACACTGCATCGCTGTGGGGAGGGCGGTTCTGTGGGCCGGGGCAGCGCCGGTCGGGAAGGGAAGGTGCCCAGGGGCTTCGGCTGGGAGGATCCCAGATTCAAACCCTGCGCGCGGGAAGGCAGCCGTCTGATGGGGCAGGTCCTGCTGCGACTGCCCGGGCGTCTCCTGCCGTGGGGGCTGCTCACGTGGGTGCCTGCGACCAGGAGCAGCCGGGACGGGGTGGAGCCCCCTCCCTTGGCGAGAACGCTCAGTCCCAGGCCCCTGGCACGACCGGGGTCCCGCAGGCCGCTCGGCGCCCTCAGCCGCCTTCTTCCAGAATTTCATGGGGGGCCTTGGGCCCACCGGGGGGCTTCCCTGCCCCCGGCCCCAGTGTCCCCCCGCACCGGCTGTCCCGCGTTCGTGAGACGCGCGGTTGCTCCCTCGCTGGCAGCGCCCGGCCCGTGTTTGTGGAGCGAGTGCCTCAGAACCGGGCGCGGGTCCGGATGCGGGGAGAGACCTCAGGCAGAGGCTGTCGGCGCCCAGACTGTCTCCGCGAGGAGGAGCTGGTCGTGGCGTGGAGCTTGGTTGCTCTCCTGTCTCCGGAGCGGCCGAAGGCCGGGCGGGGTCCGGGGTGGGCACCGGCCAGGGTCCTGGGGCAGGTCCCCAGGGGCTGGTCTCGGAGGCGGGTTTTGCAGGGCCGTGACCTGCGCCGCCCACATTTGCGGTCCTGCCACGGGCCACTCACACGCAGTTTTCCCCCAAGGCCGGATCTCCCCCGTAGGCTGCACCCCCAGTTCATCCGTGCCCCCAGCTGGGAAGCGCTTCACAGCGATGCAGAGGCCCGCGGGGTGGGGGGCAGGGTCTGCCTGCCCTGCGCCCGCCCACCCCAGGCCTCTGTTTGGGGGCTGCCACCTTGCCTGGACCCGCCAGGCCGCTCCCAGCCCCTCTGGTCGCCTCTTCTGTCCCCTCCAGCCCCGCCCCGCCCCGCCCTGTCCGTCGCCCGTGCCCGTGCAGGCAGGCGGCCCTCGGCGGCTGACGCAGCCCCGTCTTTGCGTCTGTCGGCCGGTGCGGGGCGGCGGGAAGGTTTTCCTTGTCAGGTATGTAAGTGTGAGCAATTATGTTCACTCTTTGGGCAAATAAATCTTAAGTAGTGTCTGGCCCTGCATAAACAGGATGTGTTTTTTATGCCAAGTCCAAGGGAGACGAGCCTCGCTCCTTTTTAGCATAAATCCTGAGACACAATGTGTTTGCATAATTTATTTTTATTTTTAATCAAGAAGACAAGATGTTTCAGCAGGATTCGCAGCCTGCCAGCCCCACCGCGAGCGAGCTGGGGTGCCCACCCGGCTGGCGGGGCCGTGGCCGCCCCGTCCCCGCGCCCGGCCCGCCACGCCGCGTCCCGCCGAAACCCTTTCAGCCTGAAAGATGACAATAATTACGTCCCCCGCTCATTCGTTCTCCGTGCACTCTCCCTTCCAGTGAAATGGAAATTTCAAAATCAGAAATATTGCTAACCAAATTACCTTTATCAGTGAAAGAGCATCTGCTCACAATTACTTATAAAATAGGAAAAATGAATCTTTTCAGCATATACATTTGCCGCTCTGATGTATATAAATTGGAAGTAATGCCTGGAGTTTAGTGATCCATTTCTCAACATGTTCCAGAGAGCCGAGGCCGCCTGGCGGGTGGGCGCAGCCCGCGGGGGTGGTGGTGGGGGTCTCTGGGGGGGAAGAGTGGGGGGCGTCGCTGTCCCCGCAGCTCTGCCCTCCAGAGAAGCCCGACCCCCCGCCCACCCCGCCCAAGGCAGACTTGGCGCCGCCCCTTCGCCCGCCCCGCCCACAGGCGGCTTGGCCCCGCCCCGCCCACAGGTAGGCGTGGACTCGCCGCCACTCGCCCCGCCCACAGCCGGCTTGGCCCCGCCCCCTTCACCTGCCCCGCCCACAGGCAGACTTGGCCCTGTCCCTGCATAGCCCCGCCCACAGGCAGGCAGGCTAGACTCCGCCCCCTTTGCCTGCCCCGCCCAGCTCTGCCCACAGGCAGGCTTGGCCCCGCCTCCTGCGCTCGCCCCGCCCACAGGTGGGCTTGGTCTCCCTGCATTCTGCCCCGCCCACAGGAGGCTTGGCCCCGCCTCCTGCAGTCGCCCCGCCCACAGGCGGGCTTGGTCTCTCCCTGCATCCTGCCCCTCCCACGTGCAGGCTTGGCCCCGCCTCCTGTGCTCGCCCCGCCCACAGGTGGGCTTGGTCTCCCTGCATTCTGCCCCGCCCACAGGAGGCTTGGCCCCGCCTCCTGCAGTCGCCCCGCCCACAGGCGGGCTTGGTCTCTCCCTGCATCCTGCCCCTCCCACGTGCAGGCTTGGCCCCGCCTCCTGTGCTCGCCCCGCCCACAGGTGGGCTTGGTCTTTCTGCATTCTGCCCCGCCCACAGGAGGCTTGGCCCCGCCTCCTGCAGTCGCCCCGCCCACAGGCGGGCTTGGTCTCTCCCTGCATCCTGCCCCGCCCATATGCAGACTTGGCCCCGCCTCCTGCGCTCGCCCCGCCCACAGGCGGACTTGGCCCCGCCCCTGTGCCCACATGCGGATCGTGGGTGGCCCCTCGTGGGCACCGCAGCGGGACTTCACCCTGGCCGCCCGCCCTTGTCCACCCCTGGGTGGTGGGGCTCCCTCTGAGCAGGGCCCCCGGCAGAACCCGCCTGTCCCGCTCCGCGTGCTGACCCCTGCCCGCGGGGGTCTCAGCGCCCACCGCCCCTGGCAGAGGCGCCCGTTGGTGGGTTAGTCCAAATCCTTCTGTCAGGGAACGTTTCAGAAACGCCTGTTTGAGTAGGCGGGCGTGCTGGTCAGTGCGGGTCAGTGGGAGGCTAGGCCCACGCCGGCTCCCCAGGAGGTCTTGGGTCCTCCTGCCTGTGACCTGTGCGCTGGAGACCCCGGGACGCCCGGGGAGGGTCTGCCTGCCCGGTTTCCTCGCCCGCCGCGAGGAGCGCCCCCGGGACATGCCGTGGCCAGTGGCCACCTCCTTCAGGCCCCGTCCACTGCCCACCTCTGCCCGTGGATGGGGGGGGGCTCCGGCCTCCGAGCTGCTCCTGCCTGGGCAGGGCTGTGCCCCTCACTGTGGGCGCGGCCAGCCAGGCCCCCACCCCGCACCCCTCCCCGGCTGCCCTCCCAGATGTCTCTGCGCTTCCAGACGTCGCTCAGGCCCCTGGGCAGGAGGACCCTGACCCCTGGCCCCTGACCCCTGGCCCCTGGCCCGTCTCTCCCCGCAGAGCCCCTGCACCAGCACCTGGACCAGCACGAGGTGCGGTACCTGCAGTTCGCTTTCCGCTGGATGAACAACCTGCTGATGCGGGAGCTGCCCCTGCACTGCACCGTGCGCCTCTGGGACACCTACCAGGTGAGGGCGTGTGCGCGTGTGCGTGTGTGTCTGTGTGTCTGTGTGTATGGGGCGGTGAGCACAGCTGTGCCCTGTGCTGGGGTGTGTGTGTGTGTGTGTGTGTGTGTGTGTGTGTGTGTGTGGAGGCCCCGGGCCCCAGCCTCGTGCGGTTGGCGTGGAGCACGGCTCCCGGCTGTGGTGGGGGCATTTCTGCACAGGTGGAGTCTTCTGGAACCTTTGCTCCCAGAGGCCTCCACAGGCCCCCTGAGCACCCAGCCGCGGGCCAGGCCTGTGCCACCGTGAGGGTCGGGCAAGGCGTGCGGGAAGAAGTTTCGGTCCCCCGTGGCCCCTTCACGACGCCGGGTCCTTCCCACCCTCGCAGCGTCCTGGCCACTGGCTTCTCCTTAGGGTCCTTCCTGAGAACCTCTAGGGCACCCCAGCTTCGGCGCTGGCCCGTGCTCCACGCTGGCCGGCCGCACCCACCCGCAGCCTGTGCGAGCCCTTCCCCCGAGCCCCTTGGGGCCAGTGACAGGACACGACTGGGCGCGAAGCCGGCGCTTCCTGAGGCGGAAGTGTGAATCCCTCGGAGCCCCCAGGCTTGGTCCCCACCTCGCCGTGTGGGCCCAAAGCCGGGGTCTGGAACCCAGCGTCGGGGGTGGGGGCGGTTCTGGTTCCGTCCCCAGTATTGCGGGACCAATCAGCACAGCACGGCAGGCCCCGAGCCACACCGCCCTCTGCTGCCACCTCGCTGCCCACCGGGGGACAGTCCCCGGACACGGCACCCAGCCCGTACCATGCCCTGCCCTGCTGTGCTGGGGGGCTTGGCTCAGCCTGGCCCCTGCGCGGGCGGGCGGCTGGGGCCGGGTCTTGGGGAGCTGAGCCCACCCACCCCCTCCAGCGAGAGCCCAGGCCCAGGCCCAGTCGGGCACCTGCCCCGGACCCACTCGCTGAAACTCACGATTTGCCGTCAGGTCTGCGGTGGGGTTCACGGCCTCGCTCCCAAGTGAGTTTCCTTGCAGTCAGTCCTGTTGTGAGTGGGGTCCTCTGCCCACACTCGCTCCCGGCTGACCCTCTGTCCTGGGCCCGAACCTCGGCAGGTGGCCCTAGAAGTGTGTAGTGATGCCGCGGGGGTTGTGGCCGGTTTCTCCGACCTGCCCAGGGACTGTCCCGCCTGGGACTCCCAGGCCCGGCTTTGGCAGGACCTTCCTCTGCCCTCAGGCCACGCCTCTGGGTGCCCCATTTCCCATCAGGGGGACCCCGGCTGCCCGCCTGTGAGTCTCCCGGCTGTGTCCCCTGCCCCACGTGGCGGGTGGCTGTGCCCAGTGCTGACCCTGTCGGGGGAGCTGGGGAAGGCCAGGTGGCCGCTGTCTGTGCCCCGTGCCATCTTCGTGGCTTTGGAGAAACTCAGGAAGTCCCGGGAAGGGGCTGCTGGAGGCGCCTGGGTCCTGGTTAGTCTTCCTGGACCTTCAGTTGAAGAGTTCAGGGCGCTCGGCAGGACCACCCTGGCCCGGGGCCGACTCCCACGCAGGCTCCCGTTAGCGCCCCTTCCTCGAGGAGTGGGGGGTCCGTGCGGAGCGTGGCAGGTTGGGGCGTCCGAGCCCGTCCCCGGGGAGGGCGGCTGCGGGTGGCCGTGCGGGCCGCTGTTTGGGTGAAGGAGCGTGTGAGCGCGTGAGTGGGCCGCGTCGGTGGGAACGAGGTTCAGCCGCCTTATTGGGCCCATTAATTAATTCCCCATCAGACAGATTCCCCGGGACTGAACTGGAAAAATAATTAAAATGATGCATGAGGTAAGGAGTTTAGAAATTCAAAAGGTGAAGGCAAGAATTAGTTTAATACATAATTAGACATATTATTTGTGACTGCACAGTCTCTTAAACGGGGCTCACTGAGGCAGTCGGCCCTATTTTTAGTCCTGGGTAGCTAATAAATACTAGTTGGGGCTGTTTTTCGGTGCATCAAGCGAGGCTCATAGGTTTTCTTAATGACGTTAAGTGGCTAATTATATCGTACATTGTTAGAATAATTCCTGTTGCAAAATCCAATAACGCAACAAAAGTTGCAAAAGCAAGTTTTCCGGGGAGTTAATGTGACAAGACCCCGAGTGAGACCCCGGGGGTCCGGCCGTCTCGTGGTGATGTTGCGTGTTCCCTGAGAGTGTGTGACGCGGGACGCGGTGGGACTCGGCGGGACTCAGCAGGTGTCCGACCCGGGACTCGGGCCCTGCGTGCCGGCCGTGAGCGGGGCAGTGGGGACGGGTTTCAGGTGTAGAGGCGGCCAGTGCCGCCCCTCTCCCCACCTTCCCGGGACGCCCCGTGGCTGAGGTCAGGTCTATGGACGGGGTGCGGGTGGGCAGCTGTTCTGGGCTCTTGGGTTTGAGCTTCATGCTGGGCACAGGGAGACCCACCCTGGGGCTGGGGCCCAGAGCCCGGTGCCACCGCCGGACAGAAGCATGACGGCCCTGATTGAAAGTGGCCACAGACGCTCCAACATGAACCCCAAGTGGGCTCCTGGGTCGGGTCACACAGTTCCTGGGTCAGGGTCACACGGCTCCCAGATCGGGTCACATATTTCCCAGCTCAGAGTCACAGAGTTCTTGGGTCAGGGTCACACGGCTCCCAGGTTGGGTCACATGGCTCTTGGGGGTCGGGTCACACTGCTCCCGGGTCAGGTCACATGGTTCCTGAGTCGGGGCACACAGCTCCCAGGTTGGGGTCACACGACTCCCGGGTCAGGTCACACATCTCCCGGCTGCTGTGGCTGGGCTCTGGCCAGGTCCCTCGAGTGCGTCTCTGGGGAGACGAGGTGTTGGCGTGTCTGCAGGTGGACAGTCACCCAGTGGCCCTCAGAGGCACCCAGCCCAGCACCCAGGGAGTCGGCAGGTCCCGGGGACTCGTGCAGGCGGCTGCCTGCAGGCTGGAGGGAGGCCCGGGCTCGGTGGGCGCCTGTGTGTGCCGGGAAGGCTTTCGGGGGCCGGGCCTGCAGGGTTTTCCTATCCCTCTCAATTCTCCCTTAAAATTTAATGCCGCTATAAAAATGACGGATGGCGAGTTATCCCGGGAAGACGCCGGCAAGCGCCGGGCGGGGGCTGGCGGGCGGGCGGGCGGGCGGGCACACGAGAGCAGAGCGTCCCCCGCAGGACCTGCCGGGCCGAGAGGTCGCACCGCGTCCAGCGCGCAGCCGCCGTTCTGCTGGGACCCTCGGAGCCAGTGTTGAGGGGACAGTGACGCTCGGGCAGGCCCGGCCATATCTGGGGCCGACCATGTCTGGGCCCTAAGGGGGCTTCACCTAGACCCGGCGGGCGGGTGGAAGTGTCGCCATGGCAACGGGGAGGTGCTGGGACTGGTCCTTCCCCCCACGTGGGGGCTTTTCCCCGGGGAGGGGCACCTCGTCCCCGAGACGTGCCATGCTGTAGAGAGGAGGCACCAGGAAACGGACACCGGGGCCTTCCCAGACCCCACTGTGCGCCTTCGGGGGGGCCCGAGCCCCCAGACCCCAGAGTCCCGTGGCCCTGCCTGGTCGCCCCTGCGGCTCCTCTCAATGTCCCGCTCGGGTTCTGCTGCCGGCCCTGTCCATTTTGGCAGATGAGCGCCTGGGACCAGCCTGGCCGGTCACCCAGCAGGGGAGGCAGCGGGGACGCCCCGGCTCCTCCTGGAACGCGGGGCTGGGGGCTCCGACCCTCCTGTGCGTGACTGACCGAGCTCCCACGTCCCGGCAACGCCGACCGTCCCGTGCGCTTGGGCTGCGCGGTGAGAACAGGGGGCGGGCGCGGCCCCCCACTCCCCTCCTTCTGGGTGCTTTGAGCCCAGAGCCTAGACAGACTCCAGCGGGTGTATGAGACGTGCGTGGCCAGCAGCCGGCGTCTGCGTGGTTGTTCCAGGGAGGCCAGGAAGCCGTGGGCACCCAGAAGCATCTGCCATGGTCGTCCACGGGCTGCTGCCCACGGGGGCCGGAGGCAGACGCATCTTGGCCCGGTGCTGCTTCTCAGCCGGCAGTTGGAGTTTGGGGCTGCCTGCCCGGGATGGGGGCTGGGCCGCAGGCCTGGATGTCACAGTTCCGGTGTCCAGAACCGGGCTGCGGCGAGGGTGGATGGTGCTGTTGGGGGCCTGCTGGAACCCCAGATGGTGACGTCCTGCAGACTTGGGGGACAGAGGAGGACGCCGGGCGCAGAGGGAGGGTGAGAAGTGGGGAGGAGGTGCCCCCGGACCCCCATGTCCGGGTTGTGGGCGGCTGTCCCGAGACTGAGCTGACGGCTACAGTTCTGGGGGCGTCTGGGGCCTCCCAAGAGTTGGCGCCAGGGGCTGGAGCAATAGCACAGCGGGTAGGGCATTTGCCTTGCACGCGGCCGACCTGGGTTCGATTCCCGGCATTCCATAGGGTCCCCCAAGCACCACCAGGGGTCATTCCTGAGTGCAGAACCAGGAGTAGCCCCTGTGCATTGCTGGCTGTGACCCAAAAAGAAAAGAGTCGGCGCCAACCCAGCAGCTGGACAGCTCCAACAGAGCCGGCCCCAGGACATTGGTACCCTCCGGCTCTCCCAGGAAGTGGACTGTGCCCAGGGCTGTTCCTCCCGGGTGGGACGGGTGAGGAGTGTCAGCGCCTGTGCACTGGCTTCCGCCCTGGCTCCGTGAGCCCCTTGTGTCGGCTGTCCTGGGCACGCTGGGCCCCAGCACCGCCCTCCCTGGCCAGTCGCCGCTGAGGCCGCTTGGGGCTCTCCTGCCCCATCTGGTCCCTGCAGGTTCTGGGAGGTCCCCCGCAGGCACTCGCGAAGTTGGCTGTGCTGACACATTCCCCCTTGGGGGACAGGAAAAGGGTCGGAAATGAGACCCCCAGCAAAGCCCCTGTCACTAGACGCCCGCACCCGGGTGGGAGGGACAGCGGCATGGCCCTGGGACAGAGGGGGCCACCATGAGCTGATGGCAAACGCCTGGTGCCACCCAACAGCATCAAGTGTCCATGTCCGACGATGGGAACTTGAATTCTTATCAGTGGGCCGCGGACAGAGGCTGTACTCAAGGGATGTTCAGCCATTGGCATCGGGGAGGGCACAGGTACACATGCACACACGTGCGGTCACACGTGTGTACGCACCTGCGCGCACACATACACTCACGTGTGTGTCCACCCTGCGGGCGGCAGGGGCCGTCGGGAGGAGCCCCAGAGGCGCCCACGCTCTCCCCGCAGCCCAGGGGGCAGCAGGGACACTTGCCCTGAGCATACCTGCACACACACTCACATACATACACGTATGTGAGCACACACGCGTCTCACTTGGCCGGAGCACATGTGTGCACCCACGTCCTCAGTACACACACACACACACACGTACACGTACACACCTGCTCTTCCCCGCACACACGTGTCCGTATCACAGATGGGAAAAGGGGCCAGTGGGCGGGTTCCCGGGGGGGACAAGGGGTTGATAAGTTGGGTCGGGGGTCAGGGCAGGGTCGGGGGATCAGGCGGGCGGGGTGTTGGGTGTCAGGGAGGGTGGGGGCGAGGCTGCCCCCCGCGGGCAGGACAGGTGGGGACGGGGCAGGGCTGGTGGCCGGGCGCTGGCTCTGCTCACCAGTGGACGCTCGGGCCGAGCGAGAGTCGTGGGGCGGCCAGGAGAGTCCCAGACGCCGTGTGGAAGCGGCTGTTCGCACCCACCGCACTCTCGGGGGCTGTGATTCATACAGACACTCGCTGCAGCACACCCGATCCACGGAAACTCACAGCACAGGGCAAAGCGGTGCAGGGACCGGGACGTTTAAGGCGAGGGACGAGAACAGGGGTTGCCTCACGGAGGCGCCAGCCCTGCATGGACTCGGCCTGGGCGGGACCCGGGTCACAGCCCCTCTGTGGGACCCTCCCCACGGCGGGAGCCGGGCCCTTTGCAGGAGGGAGGTGGCCGGGAAAGCCGGGGCCGCTCCCGGGGTCCCAGGGATGGCCATGGGGCCGGGCAGGGCCGTGGGGGCCGGGGCCTGGCTCCAGACGCGTCCAGGGTGAAGGCCAGGCCTAGTGCTGTCCACGGCTGTTTGGGGGGAGGGGCTGGAGCGGCCCCTCGGGTGGGCGGCCACGGGCACAGGGCCTGGGAGGGGCACATGGAGGGGGGCGGGTGCATGGGGTCCCCGAGACGCCCACTCCCGCCGTGTGGTGGGCAGGACCTGTGCCCAGAGGGGCCGTGCCCAGATGCGGGGGGGATGCGGAAGCCGCCTAGGACAGGCGGGACGCCCACGCCACCTGCCACCCATGCAGCTCAGGCCCCCTGCCTGGCGCCCGCCCGCCCCACACCGTGGCTCTCCCCTCTGCCCGGCCAGAGCCCACCATCCTGGGCCTTCTGCCTGCGGCCGTTGCCCACTGCTGCCCGGCTTGGGGCTCTCGACCGTGGGTGGGCGCGGGGAGGTCACTCCTCCCCCTCCACTGCCCTCCCCGCCCCTCCCCCGCCCGCGGGATTCAATCGGCCGTGACCTTTGTCGTCTCGCCATTTGGAATGCGAGAGGAGGACTGGGACAGACACCTGCCAATGAGGATCTGGCGGGAGATAATCGTGATTGGCGTGGGGATAATGGGCGGGCGGCTTGGCAGCGGCGAGGACGAGCAGCAGGCCCATTTGTGCGGCCCGAAATGTGATTTACGGTTCCATTACGGCCCTGCCCCCCGCGGGGGCGTTGGGGTGAATCTTAAAAGGGCCCGGGCTGCTCTGGTGGAAGGGGAGGGGGTGGTCAGGGGGGCTTCCCAGGCCCAGGGTGGGGGGGGCGCTGCCCGCGCGGCTAGCACCCGGGCTGGAACCGCATCTGCCTCTGAGCGGCCGTGGCCGGGAATACGCCCGCGCGGCTCGCGAGAAGGTCCCCAAACCCCAGCCCGTCGGTTTTTATTTCGGCGCCAGAGACGACCCGGCGAGCCGAATGCCGGCATTTCGGGGTGAGGAACGGCTCCTCCCCAGCTGCTCCGGGATGAAAGGCAGGAGGAACCGTGTCCCTCCGCCCCGTCTCCTGCTCCGGAGAGCGCGCGTCACACGGACGGACGGACAGATGGACGGACGCGGCTTGCACTGTGCTCGTGGCAGAGTCGCATCGTGATCAGGAAGTGACGCGTCAGGACAGGCCGGCCACCTCGGGCTGGCCTGCGGGGAGGCGGTCACGGGGCACTGGGGTCCCGGCCGGCTCTGGGGGACCCCTGACACGCTCGCCCTCCACGGCGATGAGAGGTCGCGGCTCACTTGGGCTGGGTGCCTGGCGGGCGCTGTCCTGCTGGCCCGTGGCTATCCCGGGGCCCCCGCGCCTGCACTCACGGCCGCCTTGGGGGTTCAGACCCCGTCCCTGTCCGTCTCACTCTGAGGGGCCTTGTGCCCCTCCCCCCGCCCATGCCTCGGTGTCCCTGCGTCCCTCTTTTCTCCTGCCTGTTGCTTCACCTGGCTGGACGGCGCATGGCTCTGTGGTGGGCACCGGGGAACATCCTGGCCACCCTCCAGGAGAGGGTCCCCCGGCTCCCGGCCTCTGCGGGCGTGCGACGGTCTCTCCTGCGGGGCCGGTGGGCGTCGGCGCTCGCCCTCCCCCCCACTGTCCGTCCACACCGAGCAGGTCTCGCGTCTCTGCTCCTTGGCATTTGCCCCGCGCTGCTCCTCCTCCTTGGGCTGGCCAGCCGCCCGCCGGGCCCTGCCCATCCACGCTGCAGCCTGAGCCCGGCCGGCCGTCTCTCCGCTGCCTTCTGTCTTGCTGGCCGGTGGCTCTGCTCTTTCTCCCGAGAGCCTGGCCTGGGTCTTCATCAGGAAGGCGTCGGCGTCGACTTTGCCAACGCCGAGGGAGCGGGCGTCTCCCGGCTGAGACGATGGGCCCCTTCCGTCCGGGGCTTGGCGAGTCTGGGTGTTGATTAGACCTCCTGCCCCGGCCTGGGGGCTCTCGTCTTGCTGTCGGGCCGGGCTCGGGGGGACAGGGGAGGCGACATTTCCTCTAGCGTCCCCGTGTGCGTGGGGCCCGTCCATCACCTGCCGCAGCGCCCAGACCTCCACGGGTCCTGCCCGCGGACCCTGGCCTCTGCCGGTGTGGGGGGATGCGCGTGAGCACAGCCCGTGGCAGGGGAGGGGGCGGGTGCCTGTGTTTGGGGCTCCTGGGGGTCCTGCCAGAGCCTGCGGGGAAGGGGGGCCCCGCCCTGCGCCTGGTGAGACCCTCGTGCCCGTGTGCAGCCGGTATGTCCACTCAGTGTTCCCGGGCCCAGCGAGTGACCGTCTGGCTGCCTGGGGCCTGCAGGCTCCCATACTCACCTCCCTCTCTCTCTCTCTCTCTCTCTCTTGCTCTCTCTCGTTGTCTGTCTCTCTCTCTGTCTCTCTGTCTCTGTCTCTGTCCCTCCGCAGTCGGAGCCCGAGGGCTTCTCCCATTTCCACCTGTACGTCTGTGCCGCCTTCCTGCTGCGCTGGAGGAAGGAGATCCTGCAGGAGCGAGATTTCCAGGTGAGCTCCGTGGGCTTGGAAGCTTCCGGAAGCGCCGTCCCCTGCCGTGTGCCCTCCCGCGTCTGTGCGACCCGCAAGTCAGCTCGGGGTGTGTGCCTACGTGCGCCTGTCTGTGTGTCTGCATGTGTGTTTGCGTGCGTCTGCATGTGTCTGGTGTGCATGTCTGCGTGTGCCTGCGTGTGTCTGTGTGTGCCTGTGCGTGTTTGCGTGTTCTGTGTGTATCTGCATGTGCCTGCATGTGCCTGCTTGTGTGTGTGGTCCACATGTTCGTGCATTTGCCTGTGTGTGTCTGTGTGCGTCCGCGTGTGCTTGTGTGTTCCTGTGGCTCTGTCAGTGTCTGTAGCTTGAGGCTGGGCTGCTCCTGCTGCAGAAACTTCTGGAACTGGGGGGGGTGTGGCTTGCTGAGCATCTGGGGTCAGACGCTTGGGGCTCGGCTCCCTCTGGGCAGGGGGCTTCGCTGCTTTGCCCCCAGCACCCCCTCGGGGCTCACTGGGCGGGGGGGGGGGTTGCCAGGGTCTCCTTCCCGGCCTCGGCCTCGCTCGTCGGCTTTCTGGGGCCGTGGGGCAGGCGGGGGGCGGGGCACGGGGCCCGCCTGGGTGGGCAGCAGAGGAAGTGGTCAGGAGCTGCGGGCCCCAGACGTGGGGGTCCCCGTTGCTCAGGACGGCCGGGAGCCGGGCTAAGGCCGGGGGAGGCGGCGGCACACTGCGGTTGGCTTTCAGGAAAACGGCTCTGCCGGGGGCGTCTGAGGCGGCCGCTGTGGCCCCAGCCGGGCCAGGGGGAGGGGGGGCCTTCCGGGCCCGCTCGCTCCAGAGCCGTAATTTGCCCCTTGGGAAATGATGTGTCGCTTTAAGTCATTTCCATAGGAACAGAAGGGTTTCTGCGGGCGGAATCTTCCAGAAGGGAAGGGCTCATCCCTGAGTGCACGGCCCGGCACTGCGGCTGCTCCCACACTGGGCGCCGGGCTGCAGGCCTGTCAGGGCCTCCCTGAGCTGCTGTCCCCGAGCCTGTCCCCTTCCGGGGTGCCCGCTGCCGGCCCGCTGCTGTCGGGACGGGTGGGGTCTTGAGGCTCTTACCGCCCCCCCAACCCACCCTGTGAGCACCAGCCAAGCGAGCCCGCCCAGGGATGGTTTCTGGGGGCCCCCTGCAGGCACCCGGGCAGCCCACCCTGCCCTGGGCAGCACAGGTAGACCCTGGGCCCTGCTGGGCTCAGTCACCGGCATTGGTGGCCCCAGGCAGTGGCCCCGGCAGCACCCGGGCAGCTGGCCCAGGCCCCGGGGCCCCGCGAGAGGGACAGCAGCCCAGCGACCCCAGGCCTGAGGGGGTCTGTGCGGCTCAGTGCCCTGGGGCCGGGTCCCGTGTCCACCGCCTCCCCTGGGCCTGGCGGGGGCGCTGCTGATGCCACAGTGGGCTGAGTGCCGGCTCCCATGGGTGCCCGCCCCACCCAGCGCCCTCCTCCCCGTCCCCGGCGGGCCTCTGCGGCCGCGCTGTCCACCAGGGGTTAACGGGCCATGCGGGGGGCACTTCCGCCCGTGTCCGCGCGAAGCAGCAAATGTCAGGAAATGCCAGGCTGCAGATCGATGTTCCGGCGTCCGTCATTCCGGGACGCTTAGAGGGAAAATCCGGTTAGTTGGGACGGCCCCGGGCAGCAGCCAGGCAGGGGGTGGCCTCATGGGGTGGACATGGGGCGCTGGTCAGGCACACGCTTAGGGCTGTGATGCCCCCTGGAAGGGTAAACTGAGGCAAGGTCAGGGTGCTGGCGCCAGGGTCCTTGGTCTGGTACATCCGGGGTCCCCCACAGCCCACAGGCCTCAGCGGGCAGGGGCTGGTACAGGGAGGACAGTGGCTCCCCTGGCCTTCCTGCTGGGCTGGGCCTGTCCCCCATGCATCCTCCCGGGCTGGCCCCGGGACCCCCTGCTCAGCCTGGCATGTGCTTGACCAGGTCTTTGGGGGTGGGTGGGGGCAGCGCCAGCCTCCTAGGGCCTGTCGGGGGTGGGGCCCGGCGGGGTGGCGGGAATGGGGGTCCCCACTGGGCTGAGGCTCTGGGGTCTCACGTCCCCTGGAAAGAAGCGCTCCCTTGTGGCCTTCCTGGGGGGCTGCAGTGCCGAACGCCCGGGTCCTGGCCCTGCCGTGGGCTCCCTGGGGACGGACGGGGCCTGCGTCCCTCGCTCTATGCTGTGGATGGGGCCCGCGGCTCTGTGGCCTCTCGGCTGCCCCTGCCACGTGAGTGGCCAGAGCAGGGCCCCTGTGATGGGCCTGGTGTGTCCAGCCCCGCGTCCAGCCGAGACAGGAGGACGCGGCACTGGCCGGCACAGTGGCCCGTCCCTCCAGTGTCCGGGGCCCCAGCAGCCCCCAGCACGGCTCCGGGGAAGTCAGTGTCGGAGGCCCCCGGTGGCGGCGCCCTTGGCCCCGGGAAGGTCGTGCGGACCCTCCCCCGGGCGGCGCTGCCCGGCCCACCCGGCGCCCGGCGCGGAATTAGATTCTGAAATTGAGTGTCGGGAGCGCTGCCGGGGGGAGGGGCCGCCGCTCACCTTGCGGGCGGCGAGGTCAGGATAATATGGAGCCAAGTGGATTAAAAATAAAACCAAAGGTATTTATTTACGACCCGCTCAGAATTGGATTGGCACCCGTGTGAGGCGTCCCTAATGGGGACCGACAGGAGATTGATGCTGATTTGTCCCCGGGGACGCGCCGCCACTGAATCCTGCTCCGTGAATTCAATTTAAAGGCCCCAGAAAGTGTCCGAAATGCAGAAGGAAATGGGCCAGGGGGAGGTGGGGGGGTTAGGGCGGCCGGGGGAGCCCCAGGGCCGGGTGCTGGGGCGGGCGGCGTCTCGCCTGCGGGCCACCGGCCGTGTCCAGCCAGCTGTCCTCCGCTGGACAGTGGGGGCCGGGCCGCTGGGGTCCTCGCGGGACGGCGGGGTGGGGTCCCCGGGCCCCGGGCGGGCGGCGGCCGAGGGGTCCGCGCTGACCCGCGTCTCCTGCAGGACCTGCTGTTGCTCCTCCAGAACCTGCCCACGGCCCGCTGGGGCGACCAGGACATCAGCCTGCTGCTGGCCAACGCCTACCGCCTTCAGTTCGCCTTCGCCGACGCCCCCAACCACTACAAGCGCTGAGCCCCGCCGGCCGCAGCTGCCAAAGAGCCTCGGGGGTCCCGGCGCCCGCGTGCCCCCGCCGAGTGCCAAGCAGAGACCCCGCCTGGCCGGGGCGGGCGGCCGAGGGACCGGCGGGGGCGGGGCGCTGAGGCCCCCTTCCCCGGAGCCGCGTGGCTGCCGGACCCCAAATGCCGCCTTCTTAACGCGAATAAAGCGAGAAAGCGAACCCGCCTGGCGCCGCTCCCCGCCGGCCCCTCACCCGGGCCCGAGACACAGGCCAGCGGCAGGACCAGCTCCCGGGGGGCCCTGGGCAGGACCACCACACCCCCTCCTCTGTGGCGGCGGCCGCTTGAAGGTCCCTGATGCCGCCCGGCCCCGCGTCTGTCCCTCCTGCCGGCGTGTGGACGGTCGGGCCGGCAGACTCGGTGCTCACTGGCCCCCCGCGTGGGCCACCCCTGGGCTGTCCAGGACGTTGGGGGCCTGGCCGGGCTGCAGGGATCCCAGGGGCTGCCCTCGGGCCCTGAGGCCGTGTGGGGACAGCGTCAGCCCCTGTGTCCTCCGCACTCCCCCTCCAGGGCCTCGAGCTGGGGCCTCCCGACAGATGAGATGAGCAGCACCGCCCACTGCCCCTCCCGGCCCAGCACCCGACAGCTCCGTCCTGGGGTCCGGTCCCCCCCCCCCCCAGTTCAGGCTGTGGCAGGAGAGGCAGCAGGGTGGGCGGGACAGCCCAGGGGGGACACACGCTCGCACACGTGTGCCCCCCACGCACATGCATGCACACACACCTGTGTGTATGCAACTCACACATGTGCGCACATGCACACACACACACACACACACACACACACACACACACGTATGCAGGGGCGACTCTCCCCCTTGGCCGCGGCTCCTGCCGGGTTTCCTGAAGCTCCAGCCGAGATTCCGCTGCTGCTTTCAAGCCCGGAGCCGGGCCTGGAGAGCCACGCTGCGTCCACGGCCCAGCAGCCCCCGGGTCGCTCCCCACCCACCCCTGCAGATGCCCTCGCTGGGGTGGGGGTCGTGGGTGCCGCCCCTGGGCCCCGGGTGGGAGGACACGCACCCTCCCCAGCCTCCTCTGCCGGCGGGTCGGGGTCCCTGGGCCGCCCTGGCCACCTCCACGCCACAGACGCAGCCACGGGACAGAGCCACCGCCTGCGGCCCCAGGGCGCTTGGTTTCCTCTCTGCAGGGGGCTGGGACTGTCCCCCCCCCCCCCCCCCCCGCGCCCTCAGGGCAGCCCCGGGCTTTTGTCCCCTGGGGCGGGCCCTCTTCTGCCCCTGTCTCAGCACTTTCTCTTACCATTAAAATTCCTCAAAGACGCTCCTGCTCCCCCGCGCGGCCTTTTCCGAGGCCCTTCCTGGGCTTGGGGCTCGGGCGGGAGCCCCCGGTCACTCTCGCTCGGTCACACTCGGTTGCCAGAGAACAGCACGCCCCCGCCCGGCCTTGCCTGGGGCCTCCTCTGCGTCCCTCTGTGGGAACTGCTGAGTGCGAGGCCGGAGGGGGCAGGGGGATGTGGGCGGGCACCCGGGTCTGTGTCCCCGTCCCCGAGAGCCGGGCCCTGGAGCGCCCCGAGGTTTCCCCTGGGAACAGGGCTCAAGCCCTCTGGCGAGCCCCTCGCAGGGGCCAGGGAGGGGACCGAGGGGGCCCTTCGCTGGCCCAGGAGAGGCACCCGGTGACCTCGTGGCCAGGGGGGCCCAGACGCAAAGGGAGGAGCAGACGGGACGGGACAGGCCTGCAGAGCCCATCCCGGGCCCACGAGTGCCCCACACACGGCCTGAGCGCCCACTGCATTGCCCAGCTCGACGTGGGCTCTGATATGGCAGCCCCCGGTGCTCAGTCCTGCTGCCGGCAGCGGGGGCGGCCCCAGCCCACTCCCCCTCCCAAGGGCGGGGACCCCAGGCAGGCCGAGAGCCGCTGGGACCCCCGACTGCAGGGGGCTGGGGGCCAGGTCTGCCTACGCAGCGGCTTGGGGTCTCCGTGACGCCCTCGGGTTTGCCCACTGTGCCCGGGGAGCGGGGGCAGGGCGGGTGTTGGGTGGGTGTCATCGCCCCCCCCCCCCCATCAGACAAGCGTGCGGGAAGTCCTGCCTCCCCGCTCCGGCTGGGCCACGTGGATGATCATTCTCCCGTTACCATGGAAACCCAGACGTGACCTCGGCAGCTCCCGGTCCTTGGTTCTGTGACCCCAGGGTGGCCCTGCGGGCCTCAGCGGAGAGGTGGGTAGGGGGGTGAGCACGCAAATGCCCCCAGTAGCTGGCCGGGACACTTGGGGGCGTCAGGGTGAGCCCCGTCCACTCGGGGTGGTGCAGCAGGACACCAGCCCATGTTCGGACGTCGGCCCTGCGACCAACAACTCGGGACACCCCGAGTCCTCAGGCTCAGGCTGGAGATGGTGCTTTGTGACGGGGGATGGGGGTCTCTCCTTGCCAAGCCCCCTGGTAGGGGACACGCCCCTGCATCCCAGCCTACACAGAAGCTTCTGGAAGGACCCAACCCACCCTGCCTCCCACCCCCTTTCAAAGGCAACCTGTCACCCCCACACCTGAGTGGTCACCTTCCTTGGCGAGGGTCCCCCGCCCCCGGGCAGCGTCCACTTTCGGGGACAGCCCCCTCGACATGGTCTGCCCAGCTGCCCCGTCTCAACTGCCCCCTGACTGGACACACCGGCTGGCCTTGTTCTGAGGAGAGCAGTGTCCAGCAGACGCAGTGGCCACGGGTGAGAGCCGCCTCGTCCATGTTGGCAGCGTGGGGGAGACACCCCCACCCCCAGGAGCCCAGGCCACGCAGGACAGAGGCCAGGTGAGCCCAACACCATCGTGGGGCCAAGGGGTGGGGTCCGGGCGGGGACGGCCAGCACTGGGGGTGACCCCTCCCCCCCAGGGCAGGGCAGTGTAGGATGGGTCAGAGGCAGGGGCGGGTCGAGCCTGGGGTCGGTGTCGGCTCGGGGGTCCCGGGGCCCATGGAAGGTGGCAGCAGGGTCACGGACCACACGTGGGGCCTTCCCTGGCCTGGACCAGCCCCTGGCGAGTCACCGCGGCCAGGCGGCCAAGGGCATGGGTGCAGGTGCCTGTATGCCAGGAGGACACAGCCCCGGCCACGCACCCTCCAAGCCTCCCCCACCCGCTCCACCCAAGGGTGCCCGAGGTCTCTGCCGAGGGGACGCTCCCAGGCCGCCACCCAGACTCCGGTCCCGGGACGTTCTCCCCGTTTCACCAATTATGCGCAGCCTGTCCGCCGGGGATTATTTCCTGACGCTGCCCTCGGCCTCGCTGTTTGGGGGTTATTTGGGCGTAACTGCGAATCTTAACCAGCTCAGCGCCCCCCACGCTCTTCCCGGCGCCCCTGGGCCTCACCGCCAGCGAGTCCGCGGGAAGGACGGCCGGACACTGTCCACCTCGGGGGGCTCAGGCCGCAGTGGATCCTCTGCACACGGGGGGTTCCTGAGACGTGCGGCCACAAGAGCTCGTCCTGCCTGTGGGACGCCAGGTCAGTGCCCGCCCCAACCCCTGCCCTGTCCCTGGGGCCCTGTCCCCCTCCCCCGCCCCCCCGCGCCCAGTTTGGGGTGTGGCCTCTGCTTCGTCTTCATTTTGTCACCTGAGTGTCGCCTCACAGGCCCCTCCCTGGCCCACAGCCCCCCGGAGGATGGGCCACAGGCCACCCCAGCTGACCACCCCCCCCCCGGTCCAAGCTGGGCCTCCTGGCTGGGGGGGCTGAGCCCCAACTTCCTTCAGGGACATGCACGAGGACACACAAACACACACACACACAAACATGCATACAGACACATGGACATGCACGTGGACATGCTACACAGACACACACGTGTATGCACACACGCACACACATTGACATGCACATGGACACACACGGACCTGCATGCACAGACACGCATACACAGACCTGCATGCACAGACACGCATACATGGACATGCATGCATGGACACACATGCACGGCGGCACGGAGCAGTGAGAGTTCATGCGGGCCCTGGCCGCGGGTCCTTGGCATGGGAACACGAGCCCAGAAGGCACAGCAGGTGCGACTCTGGGCTCTGACCGTGCCCTCTGACCCTGGTGGCCATCCTGCCCTCGGGAAGCCCGCGGCCCCCGCCTCTCCTCTGACGGGCTCCTGGAAGGCCCAGTACGACTGAAACGGTTCTGTTCCCCCCTGGACTTGCAGGGACCTGGGCCACCAAGGCAGTGGCCAGGCCCGACCCGTCTTGGCAGAAGCCCTCATCCCTGCCCTGCGCTGAGCTGGAGTCCTGGATTGCTGCAGGGGTGCGGCCGCCTCAGGCCCTGCCTCACGGGCAGCTGGCCCCTCGAACCCCCACTTAAGCCTCTTCTGGGTCACCCAGGGGGATGGGGGCTGCCGGGGGGGGGAGCTGGTGGTGAGGCCGTCCTTCAGCTGGTCCCCTGCCCTCCCCTCCGGTTGCCATGGCAGTGAGAGGCTGGTCCTCCCGGCAGGAAGCTCCTCCTGACCCAGCGCCCAGCATGTAGGTGACAGAGCCCTGGGGCTTCTGGGATCAGCCGCGGGGGCTGCCCACGGCCACTCAGGGACCCCCAACAGGACAGGCAGCACCAGCTTCTGACACTGAAAGGCCCAGAGCCCCCGGGGACGGGTCAGGGTCCCTGGGAGGGCTGGGCTGGGCGTTGAGGGCAGGCGCTGTGGGGGCAGACGTTGGCTCAGAGCCGCCACCCGACCGTGGCCTGGGGGTCCCACTTTCCCTCCAAGGGTCAGCCGCGAAGCCAAAGGCCACCTCGGCCGCAGGGACAGGCAGGGAGGATCGTTCTCACCACAGTGACGCCAGCTCTGGGGGCTGGGAGGGCCGACACGGTTGGGACTTCTGGAGAGGCCCTGGGAGAGGATGAAAAGGAAGCCCAGGGCCACACACACATGCACACGCACACACGTGCACACACGCTCACCTACACGTGTGCTCACAACCATACATCCGGGCTCATGCGCACACAGAGACACATTCCTGTACTCTTACATGCCACTCACAGGTTCACACTCATGCACACACTCATAAACACAATCACGCACACCAGGCATTCACACTCAGGCGCACGCACATACAGATGCACACACACTCTCATTCACTGCTCAGACGCACACACATACCCTCTCATTCACCCGCACACGCTCAGGCTTTTTAAAAACTCAAGGAACAGGCCTG